ACAGGCAGATCTACTGAAATACACTGCTGAGGAGAGCAGCAGGCAAGACAGGAGAGGTCTGCTGAGCCATATGGGTCACCTCCCTGGCAGGGAATCGAACTCCTGCTGCAGTGGCTGCTGATAGCGTCATAGTGCTGCGTCTTAACCCCTTGAGCCACCAGGAAGGCCCCCCAAATTTTATTTTAGCTTAAGACAAACTGGATTTTCCCTGAAATATCTTTGAAACAGAGCTTCATTCATTCATTCACTCAACTAGCAAATATTTATTGATTTCATGCAGAATGGACCAGATTTTTCGTGATTTATGTCATTAATTTTTATTTGCAACATCATTACATCATTTTAGCTTGAAAAATCTTTCCTTTAGTAAATATATATCTTTTTTTCTTTTAATCGCTGTTGCTCATACAACCCTACCAACACATGCTGGCAACTCTACCCCTCACATAATAGTCTCTTAGTGCAGTGCTTTTTATTCTAAAATGCCTCAAGAAAAATCAGAGAATCAAATTTCAGTGAGAATGAGGTGTGAAGCTAATGCCTGAAACTAACATGATGTGGGGGGGATGATTTTTAAAAATTCAGTAGGATCATTGCTAAAATATGAAAAAACATTTTCTCACTGCCCTATACACACATCCCTAAAATATGAAGAATGCAGAATTAAAATGTAGAAGCACATATACCAAAAGTTGTTTTCTTTAAAATGCTAACTTTGCAATTTTGGCAACATTTCCTATGTTTTATATTCCTGCCTTCTGGTGGGAGGAAGTAATGGGTGGGAAGATGAAAATTCTTTGGAAAGGCAGTAAGGAAGGTAAAAGCTAATTACTAAAAAGAGTGTTTGTTTGAAGCTGTTGTTAAGATCTCTCCACAATGTGTGCTCTGACTTGGGGAAATGTAAATAGTTTGTCTGTTACTTTCAGCGCCTAACATTCCCCACTTCCATCCTGACATCCTCTCTTTTTCCTCCTTTGTCTTTTTTTTCTGCTGTGTGTGTTTGTGTCTGTGTGTTTGTGTCCATGTGTTTATGTCTATGTGTGTGTGTATGTGTGTGTGTGTGTGTTGAAGTGTAATGGGGTAGAAAAGAACAGGAAGATTAAGAAAGAGACCAACAAGAGAAGTAGCATAAATAACTACATCATGTAGGTTTTTTGGACTAAAATGTTTCAACTAAAGCCAAATACAGCAAACCCCTTAAAATAGAAGAAGGTCAAGAGAGTTATGGGGAATGGGAAGGATTTGCAAAGGACACAAAGCTCGTGATTTTAAATGCTAGAGTATCTATTAAGGGGGAAAACATCGCAAATTGAAATAGTCCACTTGTAAAAAAAGCTCATTTAAATACAGGGTCTGCTAAAGAAACAGCGTGAAAGAAAATCACCGTCTTCTGGCAGTCACCCAGGCTCCTCCGTCACATGAATTTCACAGTAGCGGTGAAGCCCTATCCACAGCAGCAGTCCTGTGCTGGACACTGGCACCTCATCTGATCCTGTCGCTGTGCTCTGAGGTCGAGGTGAATGTGTCAGGCACATGAGCATGAACTTGGAGCATGTGCACACTTCTTCTCACAGAGTGCTAATCTTCAAACACTTGCAGGTTCACTTTTCATCCATGTTCTGTAGAAGCACAAAAAACTTGTTCATAAGAAAAATCAGTACCTCAGCACATCCTAAGCCAAATGGCTTATCTTACATGTTTTAGTTATAACATTTACAAATGCAGGAAAATTCATAATATTGATGTGAAAATTAATTTTTTAATTAATTTTAGTAATACTTTAATGATTTGCAATACCCTCATTGATTCTATGAATAACAGTAATGACAAACTTAAATTCCAGTTGATAACTATTTCTGGATGTTAATTGAGTGAATTTTTTAAGTCATATAATGTTGTTGTAAGAACCTCAACAGAAATGAAATAGACAATAGGAGAACAGACAATAAATAGCAAAAGCTACATATTTAAAGCTGATGTCACACAAAAGTTGGAACTCTGTGCATAATAAGCTGACGATATAATTTCCCACATATAAGTTTGGAAATTAATTTATTGTTTTGATTTTTTTGCAAATTTTAGTAATTCTGTCTCTTAGTCAAACCAGTCAAATTTCTCAGAACAGTTTTTGTTTTTTTAATTTATACATGGAGATGAAGATAAAACAAAGTCCTTACTGTAGTATAGTAGGTATTCACTAAATATTAGTTATCCCAATGCTAAGTACTAATACTCAATTTCTGTTAAAATGGGGAAGTTAAAATAGTAAGTTAAAATCTTACCTTTTATCTAAAGGTAAGGACCAAGTCTTTAAGAGTAAAACCTTACCCAGAAATCCACAAACTCAGTTAAATCAGGTAAGGGAGACAATCTATTGCCATAAACTATCAAACCTGACAGCCAAGGAAGCACAAGCAAGGTTCTGAAGTCCAGTAGAACAGAATATTTCATAAAGCTCTTGTCTCTGAAACAGCACCCCCATGAGAGACGCAGGACAATGCTGAGGTGTCATCACATTACCATAGTCGGACACAAAACTACACCTGAACATACGGGTTCAGAAAAAAATTGCACCGCTGTGCTCTCACTAATGATTAACCTTGAACTTTGAAAATTAACTACATTTCTGATTATACTGAAACCGCATTTTGCCCCAACAATTCAATCTATCAAATAGATATCTTCTATCAAATGACAGAATCCATTCTAGGCATGTTAAACAGAAATTCGACTCTCGTAAAATTCTCAGAAGGGCTGGAAGATTGGGAACCAGCAAGTGCCCCCACTGGCATCAGTGGATCCAAGAGCACATCACCCCAGCAATGCAGAAACTAGACAGCTGCCAATCCTGCTGCCCCGACCATCAACCCAGCTGCCCCGACACCCTCAATGATAGAAATATCCACAATACCTGCCACTACCACAATTGTCTCATATTGAGAGGTCTCTGTTTTAGGAACAGCTGAAGGAAAATGTCCTCTATCTCTCCTCTACCAACCAAAATATCCATGAGTGTACCCCCAAAGTCTAGGTTTGCTAGAGATGTAAAATGTTGTAAACTTTTCAATCTCTGCTCTACAAGAACACAGTAATAAAGGGGAAGTTCAATGGAGGTTGAGGGAATCACTCACAGTATCCACAGTGGGACCATTGCAGCTTTTCAATACAATGACGCTGTCTCTCATAATCTGTCCCTTTTATGATTCAACATCCATATGCATTTGCCTTTCAGTTTGATTTATCATAAAGCAACACTGAGTCCAGATTTCAACCAAAAGTCTTGCAAACTACTGCATGAGTTCTGTATTCAAATGTCAAGGGTTAGTTTTTAAGTTTGTCTTTATCTGACAAGTTAATTACCCTATATTCCAGGTATGGCATATATGCACTATGGAATATTACTCAGCAATAAAAGAGATAAAATCATGCCATTTGCGACAATATGGAGAGTGCTGGAAGGGATAATGCTAAATGAAATTAGTCAGAAAGAGATCAGTACCAGACAGTGTCAGTGTCTCTTATCTTTAAAAATAAAGAGGAATTTGTGGGAAAAAATTGTTTTCTGTTTTCCCTCCAAATGATGACTATTACTATTTTTTTTATTTTTAATGATATAGGAATTTAATATCAAAATCAGAAAATGTGTGGGCATCTAGCTAGCAAATAATTACTTAATACCACCCATGACATTATAATACCTGTAAAGAAAAAAAAAGAATAGTTTTGCTGATTTCTTTTTGGACTTTTTTTTAATTATTTATTTTGTTGAGGTAACATTGGTTTACAATGCTGTTTATGTGTTAGGGATATAGGTTCACATGTCTGCAAATGCATGTAACCAAACCACATCCACCACCAAAGCATAATTCTCCATAATAACTCATTGGGTCCCCTTCCCTCATTTCTCCCAACCCCCCACTTTCTCCCTCTGATAGTTTCAATTCTGCAAATTTCTAGGGCTTGTTTTGGTTTAATTTTTTTTAAGATTTATTTTATTTATACAAGAACTGGGATACAGGCCAGATGCACGGGAGGGTGAGAGGATTCACCAGATACAGAGCAGGGAACAGAACAGGCAGACTGACGAAATACACTGCTGAGGGGAGCAGTGGGTGAGACAGAAGAGGTCTGCTGCTCCATGTGGGTTTCTCCGAGGCCAGCAGGGATCGAACCAGCACTGCAGAGGCTGCAGACAGCCTTACAGTGCTGCGCCCAAGTGCCTGCACCACCAGGGAGGCCCTTGGTTTAATTTTGTGGTTTTTTTTTTTTTTTTACTCAGCTTTATGATTTCCCACATTTAAGTTTGGAAATCATCTGGTATTTGTCTTTCTCCTTGTGACTTTTTTCACTTAGCATAACCTCCTCCAGTTCCACCCATGTTGTCACTAAATGTCAACAGTTCAGTTTTTTTATAGTTAAGCTTAAAAGCTAACCCTTGACATTTGAATTCCGGTGTGTGTGTATACCACATCTTGGTTTCTTTCTGTCTCTATTTAACCATCATGACAATCTAGCCATCCTAATACATCTCTGGCATCTGTTTGTTTTTTTTTAATTTATTCTTTTTTATTTTGGTAATGCTGGTTTACAACACTGTATATGATTTAATGATATAGGTTCACACCTCTTCAGATGTTACCATACATCAATTTTAATAACTGAGGAAGATTGAAGGAGTCATAATTAATATGCTAAGAATGGTGGGTGATATTTCAACAAATCTAAAGAACTGTTTCATGAAATATGGCCCAAACACTCTTGCCAAAAAGCCACCTACAGTGACTGTTAATCATGGAGGCTAGGGAATGCATCCATCCCAGACTTAGAAGTCAGAATTTCTAGCAGGGATCTAGAAATTTGTGTTTGTTAACAAGCTCCAAATGATGTTTATCTTGCTAGGTTTTAAAATCCCGTTTGTTTTAAAGAGAGGAAATGTTTTCCTCAACATATCAGAATATTTGTTTTTCTTGAACTTTTCTGCACTCTGATTTTTATTTTAGGAGACAACAATGGATGGTCTTTGCAATTTGACAAATATTTTGCCAGTTACTACAAAATGACTTCCCTGTATCCCTTTCAGGCAGAAACATCTGAATGTTGTAAGTAATCAGAGGAATTGAGTCTCTGTCCATGAGTTCATAAACTTCATGCTTTTAAATGTTGGATCCAACACACAGGGGAAAAAAGTTTATCATTTTCTAGCAGCAAACTATATTAGACCTGCAACCTTATTTTGAGAATTTCATTTAAAAATGAACCAGGGATCTGAAGTTTATAGTAATAAATCATGGCAGGCATATTGTTGTAAGAAAAATTAGTGTCAATCAAAGTTGCTATGAAAAGCATTTCCTTTTCATAATCACTATAAACCCTGTTATAAAGGAAACTGTAAACATAGAAGAGCAGAGTATCTATTTGAATTTTATGTTTGCAAGTAAAAAAGTTTCTGAGGTCTAAGCTATACTTCAGAGCTACAAAAACTTTACAAATTATAACCTGCTATGATTAGTCATATACTGAAAACTTACAAAAACACTTGAAGAAGTGTGGAAGGTACTACCTTGAAGAATGACTCTGCAATATTTTTGATTAGGAAGATCTATGTAAATAATTCCTTTTAAATAATTTTTTCTAATAAAGTATACAAATGTAAATTTTGATCATAGCTTTTCAAAACCTTGGTTAAAAAGTAGAGATTGGGGGAAGAATCTCTCTTCTTTCCCTTATGATCTATCTCGAACTATAAGCTATAGATTTTGTAATTTTTTATTACTCTATTTGTCTTCCTCACTACCCAAATGAGATTAAATAAATAGAAAAAACTCCTAATGATCTCCAATTTCCAGAGGTATATATCCCTATAGGAAGTCTCACATGTTATTCAACAATTTATATCATGCCTGTCTCTCAAAAAAATGGAGAAAAATTACTTGATCATTAAATACTAAGAGTATTTGGGAAAGACAAAATTTAATTTATAATTTAACTGCTAATACAATGAAAAAATATAATGGATTAGATTATAAATCTCAAAATGTAGTCTTTGTTTTCTTTAAACCCTTCACATTTCTTAAATTCTAATTTAAATTTTTTACATTTCACTTATTCCCAAAAAAGTTTTTGATAGTTTGTAATAAACTAGCAGACTTAACGTACCAAGGAAGACAAAAATTCAATGATGAATGGAAAGGAAAAATTATATCAAGGAATCCTCACCGAGGAAAGTTCAGTAACCATCCAAAACATAGTTCTGAATTCTGTAGTCATTAAGTCAAGAGGGAAAATGATGGGTTTCATAACTGTCATAGTATGGTTTGTAAAAAAGAAAAAAACAAAAACAAAGAAATGGGATGGTGGGGGGAGAAGGGGGAACATACTAAATCAGAAAAAAAAAAATACCTCATCCAAAAAGTGCAGAGGTAAGTCTTTATTAGTACTTAGTGATAATGTCATTTTAATTAGAGTTAGTTAAACAAAATTCAGGGAGAGGTGGTACTGTCTTTTTCAAACATAAAAGCATTAAAAATGAAATCAAACGTATAGTGTAAATTTGGGGAATAATACTTAAATTAAGGTTCCTGTTGTGCAATGGCATTCATCAGATCATTATAAGAATTAATTGGAAATCAAACTGAGAATGGCTTATAATCACCTTTGACTAGATGAGAGAATATGAAGAATTCACATTTACAAAGTACCTCTCAAGAACAATATCATAGAAAATATTATACCTATCATTAGCCAGTAAATTCATAAAATTAAATTGGAGGGATTTGGGGACTACAGAGATCGGAAAGAATCCTTTAGTCAATCATAATTTATAGACACCAGCATTAATTTGCTGGTGCATCACTCATCCCTCTTTATGATAAGAAATTTCTGTACAAGCCATTTTTACCATATTTTCAATTATCATTTATCACATTCAGATTTTTAAATATACCATAAGATATATTTTAAGTGACATTATTTGCTTAATCATTCTTTTGTTGGAAATTTAAGGGTTATTTTTTCATTGTTTCCTATTATAGATAACTATAGCCAACATTTATGGATTATCTAAACTCAGCCTATATCAATAGAAAAAGACATGGTGGAATTAATGCTCATTTCACTGCCCTCATTGTTATCCTCCTTACTCTCCTCTCTCTGTCAGAACCTTCAAATTCCTTTCCAACCCCACCATCCCCATTCCACAACAGAACACACACTTGCCTTAGATATGGCTTTAACTGAAAAAGAGAATCCGTTTTCAGAGATTCATAGCCAAAATGCTACCTGCAATATTAAGCTGTTTAAAAGTTCTTGGCAGAGATTGTTTACAAAAAACACAAAACACAAGTTATGATCTAGATCTCTTGTGATCCTATAAGAGAGTCTGCATTTTGAGTTGTTGGGAAGAGAATGCATGTCACCAGTATCTGAGCAAAGAGCCACTTTATGATTTCAAGACTATAGCCAACTGTGCTCATTAGCAGTCATCCACCAGCTTAGTCAGGAATCTCTTATTTTGCCAGGAAGACACAACTCTACTCTCTGGAAGGTTTACTGTAAAAGTCAAAAACTGAAAGACAGCAAGTAGAAAATTCTCATTACAAGTTTTGTTTGCTATTTTAAAATACTAGCTATTATCAATTTTTTAAATAGGTAATAACATAGAAAACACTACATTTCTAACTTCTTTAAGGAAGTTGGTTGACTTGGTAACACATGTTCCTATTGTAATATGGGACCTGTTTGCAGAAACTGTTCCATGGGGTCATCTATCCAGTCATGGTCCACGCCTACTTTGCCTTGGAGTCTGTAACCTGCTGTACAGTTCAGGGTTTTAATATAAAAAGCACTTCTTACTCTTCTCAGTAATCATCCATTTCCCATCAAGGCAGAAATCCAACTACTGAAAAATAATTCCATTTTACTGGTTAGCTCTAGAAACAACATTTCAATTCTATAATAGAGACTAGAAATATTGGATCACAGCCCCACAGATGACCAGTGGCTTTCATCTCATTCTCCCTCTCCAACACCATTCAGCAAAAATAGAATGACTCGGCATAAAAAATGTTCACAGGAGTTAGGCTCAGGCAGACTTCCATTCCTACATAAACCAAAAGAAGGCCATGAAAATTCCTTTGAAGAATTTTTACTTTTCCAGTTAAAAAAAATTCTGCCCACATTAGAGCTCAGTGTCTAACTCTCCTCTTTCTTGCTAATTAGAAATGACTAGTCCTCCGCTAAAGATTTGATCATGCTATTAATACTTTGTTTTTTTATTATAGACATTGAATATAGACATTAAAGCCCATCACACCACACACCATTATGTCACCCTGGGATATAGTTACGCTCCCAGGGTAAGAGTAAGTGACTTCATTCATTTCGCACTAAATGGAGAAGAGTAGTCTTCTATAACCAAAAAAAAAAAAAAAAGTGTGGGCTGATAAATGTGTATGTTTCCTTATATTAATGATCTAGCATCATTTAAATTAAAAACAAATTTTGGAACCTTAATTTAAAGCATTGCACAGATTGCTTAGGTGAGACATGATATGCTAAATAATTTTCTCATAGTTTTTTATTTCTTTTCGCTACCCTGCTCTTCCCTGCCCCTCATTGTCCATTCCTTACTCTGCCCTCTTTATTCAGTGGTCAGTTCTGTGCCAGTGCAATGTTTTTGCCAAGATTTAGAGCTTAACTGTGATGATACCAACTTACGAGCTGTTCCATCAGTTTCTTCAAATGTGACTATAATGTAAGTAGAAAAGATTGGTTTCATCTTGACAGCCAGAATAGCATCTGTGAAATTGTGTCATAATTAAGACTTTGTCATTATTAAAGGAGCCTTTTTATTTAAAGATAGTATTATTGTTCCTTAGTCAATTATGATGATTGCTTGTGTTTATTAAATGCTAGATTTTACTCTAAATTATTTCATGGGTGAATTCATTTAGTTCCTCATAACAGTCCTATGAGTATTTAGTATCATCATATTTTATCTAAACAAAAGATAACCAACTATATGTGCTACTTATGAAAAAAAGTTGTACTTAAGCTACTATGTAGAGCTTTCTTATTTCATAGAAATTTTATTTAACATATTAATATACTCATATATAAATTTATAAAAAGAAAATGGTAAAACAATTTGGATAAAATATTCGCAGAACTTCACATTTAAAATCTAACTCTTCACATTAAAATCATATTTGACTCAGAGATATTGGAGTTGATTTTTTCTTCCTGAATAATTCAAATTTATGTATGTAGATGACAATTATCCCCTTAAATGGGGATCCAATACTAGCTTGAATTCAACAAACATTAGCAAAATACATGGTTGAAACTTCAAAAGAAATCAGTGTGGGAGAGATATTTTAAACCAATATATATTTGATGAGATTTTTGTTTTCATTCAGATGTTTTAGTATTTTGTGGCTTTAATTTCTGGGGTATACAAGGGCAAAATGGAAGTAATTCTTCAGTTTACAAATGTTGGCAGGGCCTGCCCATTTTAACCCAAACCTCATACCACAGCAACACCTATGCTTGGCATATATAAAGGATGGGGAAGAGCTGCAGCTCAGAGTTCCATCAAATTAACAGAATCTGGGGACTTTACCCAATGCATGAGCTCAGAACATCATACAGTTTAAGCCACAAAGACTTGCTTTCCAAAGGAGGTAACATTCCTGTCTAAACAAGGAATAGCATTCTATCCTATCCTCAAACACCATAGCTCTTTTTCATTGTAATTAGTCCTACTGCAAATAATAATAATAATAATAATAATAATAATCCCCATAAGAATCTGAGGTTCTTTTGAAGAGTTTTCATGATTTAAATTCTGACTTGAACTTCTGGATATAAAATGTGTGATGATTTCATTCTGTTTTCAAGGGAAAATTACCACCCCCATTATTTGTTTCAAATTACTTCAAAGTCCAAATCAAAGACAACTCTCATGCTGCCAATCTCTTTTCTTATTTTCCCACAAGTAAGATTTGAATCCATTCTTGAACAATTTAGCCAGCCCTTGCTGAAAGAGAGGGAGAGAGTCACAGAAATGGAAGAGGCTAAGACAGTGACTGACTAGAGATCGCATGCCCCACCTAAAGGTATTTACATTCAGTTTAAAGAAAACCTCTTCTGGCTCAAATATACATTTGTGCGCACATTCATTCATAAATATGTACATTCATAGAGAGATGTGTTCAGGCCTGTAGGCAACCAATTGGTATAAAGAAAACCTTGGTAAAAAGAAAAAAGTTGGGACTACATCCTTATGAATAATTTCACTGCAGGAAAGCAAGAGAGAAGGAGAGGTGCAAGATGATTTCAGGGTTTCCATCCTGAGTAACAGAGATCCGGGAATGGGGAGATTTGGTAACAGTCATGGGGAAGGCTTGGAATCCAGTTTTAGATTTCTTTTTTTCAATTTGAGGTTAACAGGTTACTCAGTGGAAATATCCAGCAGGCATTTGAGAGATGGAGGAATGAAACTTGGCATTTATTTTCATAGCAATTTTTATCTTCTGGTAAAGAATGGCATTTTCTGGTCTTTTAGGTCAAGCAGCTTGATTCAGGTTGTCCGTTTCTACTTTTCTCTGCAAAACACCCAGTAAAGCATCACCTCTCATCCCAGTCTTTGCTCAGTTGTGTAGAGAAAACAAACTCTAGACTTTAGAGCAGATACATTAAAGGAGTAAATATCAAATTTTATTACTAAGCATGTTTTATTTTTTGAGTTGGAACTATTATAGGGAAATGTCAGAAATGGACTAAATCATATATAAGTAAAGTATCAAAGAAGCAATAACCCAAGTAATGTTTATTGGAGTGAAGTTTTCTTACAAGATATTTCACATAAATACTAGTGAGCAACAGAGGTAACCACAGATAAATATGATTATTTAGGCATTGTTCTAACTTGTGAAAATTTAACTTTCATTGTATCAGATCCTGGAATTTAATCACTAAAACTGCATAATCTAATATAGAATATCAATTTTCTTTCACACACACATTATATCTATATACACACTTTTTTTTTAGTTTGTTTTACTAAGAGTAGTAATACCTACCTTTTTGCATTTCAATAAAATATTATGAAAACATAGAGAATGCTATTTGTAAAAATATTGGCTCATTTATAAAGGACTGTTACTGAAAACTCAAATATCTAAGAAGCATATTTAGGAATTCTTAACTGAACCTTCTTGCTCTCTGTAATTACCCTCAGTCTTCGAAGTCTTATCTACTTCCTCTTGAGTTCTCTCAGAGGCCCTAGTTTGTGTGTCTTTTAAGTATATTGAACATTCTTTCTTTCACTATAATGATTATGGACCTAATCTCTACAATGAAAAGGCAAATACCATAAACTCATTGGGGGACTATACCTCAGTCTTTCTATAAATCCTCCAAAGTTCCTAACAGAGTATAATGAGCTCTAAACAAATGTTTTTTAATTGAATTTACCAGTAAATGAATACAATAAAAGCAAAACAAGCTAATTACCTTTTAGCTCTGAGCTATAAGACTGATGTTACTATCTAAAGAAAAGTTTACAGTTATAAGTAAATTACAGTTAATCCTCACTTAATAGGTTATTGAAAACTGTGACTTTAAGCAAAACAACAAATAAAACCAATTTTATCATTGATATAAACCAGTTACATTCCTAAGGCATATTTCTAGTGATAAAAATATCACCAAAATTCCAAATAAAGACAAAAACACCTCTAATGTTAACTAATAATTTACAGTCATTCATTCATGTATTTTCCAACTGGCTTATAACCGTTCAGGGTGTCTAGTGATTGAAGCCCAACCACCCAGGGCACAAGACAGAAGCCATTCTGAACAGGATGCCCTTCCATTGCAGGACACCTCTCTCACTCTCTCACTCTCTCTCTCTCTCTCTCTCTCTCTCTCTCTCTCTCTCTCTCACACACACACACACACACTTACTCTGGATAACTGAGACTTGGCAATGAATCTTACATGCACATCTTTGGAAGGGGGTGGCAATTGGAGTACCCAAAGAAAACCCACACATACAGGAGAGCATGTGCAAACTCCACACAGGTAATGGCCCCTCTTTTTTTTTTTCAATCAGTGTTATAATGAAAAGATACATATTATTGAAAGTCCTGCTGTTGGTTTTTTGTCATCCAGGGACATTATCTTTTTCTCCAAAGTGCAACTGGAAGGCATTCAACACCTGTTTGTTGAAAGATGAATGAATGAACATTTTTGAGAATACAATAAATTCATTAATATCTTTATTTTTTTTTAAATAGGGGCATGTTTTATTTATTTGTTTGTTTGTTTTGTTTATACATGCACTGGGTACAGTCAGAAGCGCGGGAGGGTGAGAGAATTCACCAGAGCCAGAGCGGGGAGCAGAGCAGGCAGAAGGACCGAAGTACACTGCTGAGGGGAGCAGCGGGCGGCAGGAGAGGTCTGCGCGCCATGTGGGACCCTCCTCAGGTGGCCGGGGAGCAGCTGGGGATCGAACCGGCGCCACAGAGGCCGCGGGCAGCTTCGCAACCCAGCGCTCAACCGCTGCGCCACCTGGGAGGCCTTCATTAATATCTTTAAATCAAACTCAAATATTTAATAATTTATCTTACACAACACAAACATTTAAACGGCAGAATTGAGGACCTAAGCCAAGCAATAATTATTAGAAAAGGGATTGTCAACTAGCTAATAGAAGGAAAGAGAAAAGAAAAAACATTTGGTAATAGCCCACAGATAAGAGTGTTTTCACAAGATGGTCACTAGCTAACCTTTGGCATTCATTTATTAAATCCTTAAGGGAGTGATACTATAACTTAGAACAATGTTTCTTAATCTTTTTTCTTTCCATTATTGCCCCCCATTGAGACATTTTCTTAGACATAGGTTAGTGAGAGCCTTCAATTGTCTCAGTTTTGGCTCCAGGCAGGAATAAAGCAGGTTTTTCAAATATCACAGCCTCAGGCTGTACATAGCAGCCCCTTTTATAGGGAGACATGGGTGATCCAAATTGGTTCTCCCAACAGTTGAGGCTCCAGTTGTTCCAGATTGAGAGTCTCGGCTCAAGCAAGCAGTCATCACCCTGCACCCTTACTGGACGAGTCCTCCAGTGGTGCACTCTCTTCCCTGGATGCCAAGTGTGCATCCCCTTCTCTAGTGCAGGGCTGCGTCTCCAGAGTCTCTGATGTGAGTGTGTGCCCTCAGTCAACAGCTGCAGAGGGGCTCCCGCCAGCAGTTATCCCTACCTCTTGTTAGTTGTACTACTCAATATCACTGCAAACACAGTTGGAGTTTTACTTCCCCTTTCCATGGCACTGATTCTCCTGGTGTGTGCGGTAGTTCCCTATTCATCTTTCAGGGGTTGTAGACTTGGTTTTGCTATGATTTGGTTGTGCATATATGGAGAAGGTACACCCAGCATCCACTCTGCTGTCATCTTGCCCCATTTGAAACTATTTTTATTTAAGGTTTCTTTACCAAGTTTAAGCAGCTGGTCCAAAGCAAACATAATAATGAAACAATGTTAGTGCCTAGTGTAGGACAATGTCTTAATCTGAGCCCTTTATATCAATCATTTCTAAGTGTTTATCCCAAAGCAAGTCAACCTCCAGACATTTATCAGCCTCATTTATCAGACAATAATGGTATTATTACAGGTTATCTGAGCCAATTAATTGTTTTACAGTTAAAGACACTGGTATAAAAATTATATGTAATTCATGCAAGAAATCCCATGTGCAATGGCTTGGGGTTTTGTTTTGTTTTTGTTTTTTGCTTGTTTTATTTTGTCTCTATTACATTACATTGCCTTTCTTTAAAAAAAAATCAAAGGCTTAGTTTTTTTCCCAATGCAATCACAATTATGTCAAACTATGTCAATGTGCTTCTCAAGTTGTGATAAAGGGGAACTCTTTCTGTGTATTTTATTTGTAATTAAATGGGATCACTTATTGAATAAAGACAGTTCAATTGTATATACAAATTGCTAGTTTCCTTTATAACTAATTTTAGAAGGAAGCAAGGGTATGAAATGTGAGCTATGAAATATAGTGGGATATAAAGTTATTTAAGTCCTTGGCTCTGTTATAAACAGAAAGCAGTATTTTTATTGTCAAAAGCTGAAGTGCTTTCTAGTATGTCCTAAATAAAAATAAAAAAAGGAAATTTTATGTTTTCCCAGTTTTATTATTTGAATTTTTTGGTCAGAATTGCAAATTTGTGACCTAAATTTCAAAAAATGTGAGTATCTTCAATAATACAAAATTAATAGTTAGACCTACTTTAAAAGCTACCATGAATGAGTGATGTCATGATACAAAATGTTTCCTAAAAACTAGTGCTAAGGTAAGTAAAGTTTATAATTGTCCATAGTGTTGTGGTTAAATGTGAAGAAAAAAACTCTTCATAAGTACCAAAGTTTATATTTATTTCAGGTCACTTCAGTGGAACTTGATAAGAAAGCTTCCTCCGGATGGCTTCAAGAAGTACCATGATCTTCAGAAACTGTAAGGAAACATTTGATTTCCAGTGTTAAAATTAGTTAAAACTTTTTGGCACATGTTTCTTCCCACCTCTGCAGAGGCCAACACTGTACCACTGATTAAGTCTAACCCCTCTTTGTGGAATTATTTAGCTGTTAGCTAGAGACTACAAGGTAACAATTTTTTTTTTTCTAAGTTGGGCTAGAAGTCATTCAAGAAAAATCTCAGATACCTATCCCCAAAGAGACTGGGGCACATGCATTATGAATCCTCTACTATGATCCCCCAAAATGAAAAGGCTCAGGAGGTTTTACTCTGTATTTTTTGCCATGGCTCATCTCAATGCTTACCTTAGAGAAAAATGTAATGGTCTTTAACTAAATCAGCCATCAAGATTAGATAGTGAAGCATTTTCTTCCTTATGTCTCCAGATTCAATATCCACTGAAGATAGCAAGTCACTGAGATTTGAAGCCTTTAAAGATGGGGGGTTTCTTTCTATTACTATATCTGCATTGTAGGTTTAGTTTATTTTGATTTGAATCACATCTGATATGCAAACTTCTATGCAGTTTAGAGTGATGTATGTACTTTCAAAATCAATAATGACCCCGATGATATTTACCTGTTATTTAGGTCAATGTCATGACTAAGTCTTATTGTCATGTACTTAAACTATTGGGTTCAAATATTTTGTGCCTGAATCACACTCTAGAAAAATCTTAGAATTCCTAGTTTTATTTTCATAATTGTATTGTTTTCAGTTTTGGTATATACAATAAAACCTTATTTTTACATATATCTATATTCATGATTTAAGTTATAGAAATAGATGAGAATCTGAAGGAAAACCACAGGACTTCATTTGGTGAAATGCTCTCAGGCCCAGATTATTTGTATAAAAATGTTTCTTATTTGAAAATAAAAATAACTTTTCATAACTTCACTCTGAATATTTTTCAATTAACAGAAAAGAGCCTTTCAAAATTAGCCCTGATGCAAAAACTTGAAGAAATTACTTCCTTTTTATGTTCTGGTTGCTGGTGTATGAAGAATTTTTCTGACCTATAGCACCACCTTATGTCCACATGTTTAAAAGTAGTTAAGATTTCAAATACAAGTATCAAAATTCAGGTTTATAGAACAACAAAATTCAGATTCATATATGTTTAGCATTTTTTGTCCAATAAACATTGAATTCATTCTTAACAGCTGATTTGTTACAAGTAATTGATCAAAAAATCTTATGGTTATGAAGTGTAGCTCAATCTCCAGGCAATATAGTCCATTGCTTGCTCATTATAACAGTTAGAAGAAAATAAATACATGTTAAACTGTTTCTGTGTGCTAGTGAGAAAGCTGCATTACTGTTATGCAGTTGGGCCCACAGTATTTTCTGTGAAAGTCTTAGATGCATTAATCATAATAACAATTTTTTACTATCAGGTTTTTTTTTTTTGCTTGCTGGAAAAATAAGCAATCTCTATTTGTCAAAATTTCTAATTAACTGAGGGTTCTGATTTCTCCCTCCTTGATCATAAAATTCACCAAAAAAAAAAACCACTGTAAATTCAGGATACCCCAAAATACAATGGTGACTTCTGTCAGTCAGAGAACAAGAAATCATCTTGAAGGCCTTACTTTGTCATTTCCCACAACCAAGGCAAAAAATTTATATAGGAGTATATGGTGTGGTTGCTTATACTCCAGTATGTACTTTCTTTGACCTCCAGATAACTCAAAGTCAATCTTCCATTATGATTTTGTTAACTATGTAAGCCTGCATCCTTGTTTTGATGTTCCAATTTAATTTATAATCTATTTTTCTCTTTTGTCATATATGTTGACAACTTTAATGAGATTAAAGTTGACTTGTTTGAAAGATTTGTGATTAACATAGAATATGAATTGGAACCTTAAAGATGTCACATACCTCAGGTTTGCTAGTACCCTGTTGAACACTGACAAATGTGAAAACTATAATGGGAAATCTTATAAAGTCTGATTTCTGGGCAGGTTTAATTAGTGAGTGGTCTTATGATGATGCATTAAAGTTCCATTCATAGAAAACTCAAATGTTAAATTTTACCTATTACATGATCATATTTATAAAAAGAATTTCCAAGTAGAAACTGGCCGAGTCACTGGTGAATTTAAAAGCAAAATAAAATGGCATGATATCCAGTTTCACTAAATATTTTATATTTAACATCTTCTTATAATTAAAAAAAATGCTGTTAATCGTCGCAAAGTACATACGACATAAAATATACCTTCTGAGCCATTTTTAAGTGCACACAGCGATAGTAAGTCCACTCACATTGTCGTGCTAGTGTCACCACCCCCATCCACAGGACTCTCATCACCTTGCAAAACTGAAACTGTTTTACTATGTTTTCCTTTTTAATAATGATTTTCACAGGTGCCTGCAAAACAATAAGATTCGATCCATATCCATCTATGCTTTCAGAGGACTGTACAGTCTTACTAAACTGTGAGTACCATGGCCAATTTATTTGTTCATTCTGCAATGATCTCGAGCCACCTGCTTCCATAGGCAATAGCCTCCTTCCCACAAGGCCTTGGGGCCCTGCAAGCCCTGAGGGAGCATCGTAGCACTGTCTCTATGAACACAGGGGTCTGAGTCAGTTAGACTTCACACTGAGTCCGGACTTCACCAATTTGTAAGTTGTGTGAAGGTGAGCGCTTTCTTTTTCTTTCTAAGCATCAATTCCTTCTACTGAAAATTACAAAGTATAATAGAACCTACCTCAGAGTTGTTATAAGGAGCAGGTAAAGAAATCCATGGGAAGACTTAGGCACAAGAGCCTGGCTCATGGTAAGAAGTCAATATGCATTAGTCACAGTAGTAAGAATTTTTTATTGTGGTAAGATATTTATAGCAAAATTTACTATTTTTAAGTGTATTGTTAAGTGGCATTATGTATGTTCACATTGTTGTGAACCATCCACTTCGAAAAATTTTTTTTTTAAAGATTTATTTTTATTTATTTATACAAGCACTGGGTACAGTCAGAAACGCAGGAGGGTGAGAGAATTCAGCAGAGCCAGAGCGGGGATCAGAGCAGGCAGAAGGACCGAAGTACACCGCTGAGGGGAGCAGCGGGTGGCAGGAGAGGTCTGCGCGCCATGTGGGACCCTCCTCCGGCGGCCGGGGAGCAGCTGGGGATCGAACTGGCGCTGCAGAGGCTGCGGGCAGCTTCGCAACCCAGCACTCAACTGCTGCGCCACCAGGGAGGCCCCACTTCGAAAATTTTTTCATCTTCCCCAGTTAAAACTCCATACCAACGAATCACTAACTCCCTATCCCCCTCTCACACCCCCAGCACCCGCCATTCTACTTTATACCTCTATGAATCTTCCTACTCTGGGTACTTCATGTGCATAGAGTAGGCAGATTCAAGGCAAGATTTGCCCCCCCCCTTTTTTTAAAGATTTATTTATTTATTTATACAAGCACTGGGTACAGTCAGAAGCGAGGGAGGGTGAGAGAATTCACCAGAGCCAGAGCAGAGAACAGAACAGGCAGACTGACTGAAATACACTGCTGAGGGGAGCAGCGGGCGGCAGGAGAGGTCTGTCGCGCCATGTGGGACCCTCGCCAGCAGCTGGGGATCGAACCGGTGCTGCAGAGGCTGCGGGCAGCTTCGCAGCCCAGCACTCAACCGCTGTGCCACCAGGGGAGGCCCAAGGTTTGCTCTTTTGTATCAGGAAATTTTCACTTAGCATCATGTCTCAAGTTTCATTCATGGTGTAGCATCTGTGAATTTTCTTCCTTTTTAAGGTTGAATAATATTCCATTGTATGCATATACCATATTTGCTTCATCCATTTATCCATCAATGGACATTTTGGTTATTTCCATCTTTTGATTATTGTAAATGATGCTGCTGTGAACTTGGGTATATAAATATTTTTTTGAGTCCTTATTTCCAATTATTTGGGGGTTATAAAACCCAGAAGTAGAATTGTTGGGTCATGTGGTCATGTTTGATTTTTTTTCTTTAGAAACTACCATATTGTTTCCACAGCACTTGTACCATTTTATAGCCTACCAGCAATGGACAGGGGTTCCAGTTTCTCTACATTCTCATTAACAAATTTATTTTTGTCATTTCTCCTTTTTCAGATATCTCAGTCATAACAGAATAACCTTCTTAAAGCCGGGTGTTTTTGAAGATCTCCACAGACTAGAATGGCTGTATGTTTAATTTATGTGGCATCTTATAGTATTAGTTTTTATGTTCTAAAAATAAATAAATGAACCAATTTTTTTCTTCTGGCTGGCAGGATAATTGAAGATAACCACCTCAATCGAATTTCCCCACTAACATTTTATGGACTAAATTCTCTTATTCTCTTGTAAGTACTAAAAATTAAAGCAAATATTTCAGTTGAAGGAAAAGACAAAAATAATTATTTTAACAGCATTAAATTTGAAATTGTGAAAACCCAAAAAAATGCCTTTTCCATGAAAAAACTCTCAATTGTATTTTATGAGGTGATTTTGCAGTTCTAATAATTCTGTAAGTTCTCTGTCTTCTAGAATGCCAGCCCAACAAAACTAAATATACCCTCAGTCTCATATTTTATAAAATATTCTTAAGCATACCCTATATTAATCTCGAGAAAGAAAAATAACATTAATTTTAAACCACCTTCTTTTCACTACCCACTATGGAAGGACCTGGGTATTTTTTGTTACTAACATTCCTGCTTCCTCTATATGATAGTTATCATTTGTCAAATTTTATTACTAATAAGCACTTAAATATAACAAGACTTCTTTAAAATATTAAAAATGACTAACAATAGATTTTCATGGTTTTGTAAGAAGAGTAATACCATCTTTGACTTAAATCGAGGAAAGGTTCACCTATATGTGACTCTGTTGTCTCTTTTCTTTTCAGAGTGCTGATGAACAATGTCCTCACCCATCTGCCTGATAAACCTCTTTGTCAGCACATGCCGAGGTTACACTGGCTGTAAGTTGTATCTTTTTTAATGACATTAACTACCTTTTCTGGTTTTGTCTGTTTTGGATTTTAGGGGCTTTTTTAATGATCAGTTGTTAATATATCGTATTTCCTCATGTTACTGTAGCATGATTTTATTATTAAACATCCCATTATATATAAACCATCCTCTAAACTCTCACCAAAATAAAATACCTCAAAAAGAAATTAATTTGGTGACAGAAAGAGAGAAGACAGATCCCCCTGCCCAGCTACTCACCTACAAACTTGGTACAGAAAGATCACTTTAGCTTCTTCCCTAAATTCTGAATAAGAATATAAAGCTAGGAATTTTTTTAAGCTTAATTACAAAAGATTATGTTCCATGGAATTTTTTACACAGTAGCTTTGCCTATGGTAGAGAGTACTACTCTATCTATTCAGAAATCATTTACTCATTAAAGTCACTATTTAAAATACAGGTAAAAATGAAGAAATAAATAACAAAAAAACAACTTAAAGTTCAATTAAGAAACTGTATATACAGTCTCATATGAAAACTCCCTGTTTCTTATTTTGTAGGCACTTGTAGAAAGTGTGGTTGCTTGATATGTAAGCTCACAACAGGTAAGAAGTGTCAGATTAAAATGGGAGGAAAGGTAAGAGTTAGAAATATTGACTCTAGTGAGAAGTGAAAACTGTCAACCTGGTAAGAAAACAGGAATGAAAAATTCTATTAATAGCAGACACAATAATCAAAAAAAAATGCTAGTTTGGAACCACTTAGGGGAAGACAGACATCCCAAAAATCATTAACAAGCCCAGAAGGCATCTTGGTGTAACAGTTCAGTACCCTCATCCATGACAAGCTCAAATCATAAAGGAAGGGAAAATTAAATTCAGTCTTCTTTGTGTTAAATAAATTTTGACTCAAATAAATACATGAACGTATATTACATATTCAGTAACCCAAACTTAGTAATGAAGCAAAACTGATCAAAAGTTACATAATTAGCAATTAAAAATTCATGCATTGAGACCAGTAGTGAATATAGGTGATATTGTGCATATGCAATAATAAACCTTTCCTTTTTCTTTAAAAGGTAGATAAATATATATTTCAGATAAAAATAAAAATGATTTAAATTTATTGCTGAAGAGATGGAGTTTTTAAATTTTCATTACTAAAATTATCTATAAATTTTAACTATCCAAAATAACTCATTCCATATGTGTTCTAAAAATGAACATTACCCCAATTTTAATGCTGGTAATAACAATTTTTGCCTTATAAGAATTCATTTCTTTCAAAACCAATGATAATATCTCTATTGTGCACATGAACTTTCATTTAATGAAATATAAACTAGACAAATCACATTCAAACCACTGAAACAAAGATAAAGAAAAAAAACATTAAATGAGAGAAAATATATTACATACTGTAAAACAAAGATAAGAAATGCAACACTAAGTTAAAAAAAAAAAACAACTGGAGGGGCTAGGGAAAAAAATAGACTTAGAACAAAGACTATCACTAGGGATAAGGAGGGTTGTCATTTAATAATAGTGGCCAGTTCAGCAAGGAGACATGGTAATCTTAAATGAATAAGTGGTTTCAAAATGATTGTAGTGAAAAATGTAGACTTATAAACAGAAATATTCTGGGGTCCAGATGTATAATTCAAAACCAACTAATTTGCCAATATGTAAATATTTTATATCCCTAAGGTAGACATTAATAAAAAGTATATTATTAGTCAAAATCATATGGCGGGGAAAAGGTAGAAGAGTAGAAGGGAAGACAATCTATACTAATTTTATCATTCTGTATAATAGAAATTTTATTTTTTTTTTTTTTTTTTTTTGAATACCCAAACCAATTTTTATTTATTTTTTTTTTTTTTTTAAATATTAAATTTTATTTTTATATTCCCCCATACAATTGCAAACGCCCCATTCTGACCCCAATCCTTCCCCTCCCGCCCCCCACCCCCCAAAAAGTGTCTCTGGTTCATAGTTTTTTTGTTGATTTTGATTTTCACTTTCTTATATTCATTTTCCTGGTCCCTTATTTAAGTTTTCTAGATTCCTGCTATGAGTGAGACCATCCGGTATTTTTCTTTTTCTTTTTGGCTTATTTCGCTGAGCATGATCCCTTCCAGTGCCATCCATGTTGCTGCAAATTGCATGTGTTTATCTTTTTTGAAGGCTGAGTAATATTCCATGGTATATATGTACCACATCTTCTTGATCCAGTCATCTATTTTTGGGCATTTGGGTTGTTTCCAAAGCTTAGCTATTGTAAACAGTGCTGCTATAAACATAGGAGTGCAGGTGCTCTTTGGAATTGATGTTTCTGTGTCCTTTGGGTAAATACCTAGGAGTGGAATTGCTGGATCATATGGAAGCTCTATGTTTAGTAGGTCCAGAAATCTCCACACAGCTCTCCATAGTGGTTGGACCAGTTTGCACTCCCACCAACAGTGCACAAGAGTTCCTTTTTCTCCACATCCTCGCCAACATTTGTTGTTGCTAGTTTTTTAATATGTGCCATTCTCACTGGTGTGAGATGGTATCTCATGGTAGTTTTGATTTGCATTTCCCTGATTACAAGTGATGTTGAACATTTTTTCATATATCTGTTGGCCATTTGCATTTCCTCTTCAGAGAAGTTTCTTTTTAGCTCTTCTGCCCATTTTTTGACTGGATTATTTTCTTTGTTGTTGCTGAGTCTCATCAGCTCTTTGCAGATTTTTGTGATCAGTCCTTTATCATTAGTGTTGGGTGCAAAAATGTTCTCCCAGTTGGTGGGTTTCTCTTTGTTTTTGTTATTGTCTCTTTTGCTGTGCAGAAGCTCTTTAATTTGATGTAGTCCCAGCTGTTTATCTTCTCTTCACTATCACTGCTTTGGGTGATGTGTCTGTAAAGATGTCTTTGATGTGCAAATCCCGTAGTGTTTCGCCTATATTTCCTTCTATGTATTTTATGGTTTCAGGTCTTATGTCTAGTTCTTTAATCCATTTTGAGTTGATTTTTGTGTATGGTGTGAGGTAGTGGTCAAGTTTCATTCTTTTGCATGTAGCGACCCAGTTTTCCCAGCACCATTTATTGAACAAACTTTCTTTGCTCCAATGCATAGTCTTTGCTCCTTTGTCAAAGATTAGTTGACCATAAATCTGTGGGTTATTTCTGGATTTTCTATTCGATTCCATATAATAGAAATTTTAAAAGTATTGTTATTACCTAAGAAAGATAAGTAGAGTTACAATTATAAAGGTAACCAATAGGATATATAAACCTCTCTAAATATTAAAAGAAATAAATTTGAAAGTTTTTAACTTATAAAAACATATAAAAATACTTACAGTCTAAGCTCAGATATTAGTCATGTCAATAAACAGAAGTGAACTTAACCTATTAAAAGGAAAAAAGATTTTCATATTGATTCACAAAGTAAAACCTAGCTCAGTACAATTTCCTAGAAAAATAAAACTATAGTTATAAGTGATTAAGGAAGATGAAAATTAAAGACTGGTCAAAAAGTAATTGTAAAACCCAAAAATATGGACATCGTATTTTTTATCTAAGTATATGGAATCATGGCCAATACCCATTAAACTCAAAGAAGGACGCTTAAATGCTCTAGGATATGATTTCCAGTATACATTATTACATTATGAGTATGATTGCACCAAATAAATTCATAAAGCAACCAAACCGAAAGAAAAATAGACATACTTAAGCAGTAAGGGACAATAATGCACCTCTTTCAGTCCATGAAAGATCAAATAAAACCAAAAAAAGATATAGAGAACTAAATAACATAATGAGGTAACTCTAATTGATGTATATTTCAAATTGCAATGTCCATTCTCACTAACAGAGTTGATTTATCTGGGACAGCAATATCTCAGATAAACTTTTGCTAATGAAATGGAAGAGTATAGTGTGGAACTTCTAGAAAATCTCCTTAAAGAGATTTTATCCTGAAAAAAAAAATTGGATATGATTGCTCGAGCTTTAGCATCATCTTGGGCCATGAAGACAAGGACAGTTAGACAGTGAATATAAAAAAAAGCTTGGGTTTCTAACAACTTTGTACAACTACCATTCTTGCTCTGGACGCCTAAGTCTAGATTTCTTGAAGGAAAACAAAAAGCTCCTGTGTAGTTATGCTGAATAGTTGGGTCTCTGTTATGTGTACCTACACTTAAGCCTAATATAACCTAAAAGCAAAGAATGCCCAAGAACATTCGCCAAAATTAAGCATATATTATAGGACACACACATACACAAACCACACTCAAGAAAACAGATGGAGGGATTGGCCTAAAGCAAGAAAAGGGTTATCTCTTCCTCTGAGACCTGAAGGATACCAGCTACATTTACAGGTAAGTTTATAGATGTCAGGCTGAAAGTCAAGGTTTTTTTCCCTCCTTTATCACCTCCATTTGCCTGGTGAAATAGAAGTTAGAAATGTACAAAAGGTAAGGATGGAAATAAAAGTTAAGGAAGGTTGTATATTTGAATACCACTACAGGATAAGACATGAAGTTGGGAAGGACCAGGGCAGATAATTTGGGGCTTGTAGGGTTTGTTATTGTTGTTCTTCAGATTAAAAGACCACGTTTTCATTACAATCAGTTCTGCTATGCATTAGGGGAAAAAGTAAAATGGTTGGGTTCAGAGACTCATAAAATTGAAAAAATGGTCTATACCTGAAAGTAAGAAACCTTTGTTAGCGCGTTAGAGCATGCTTTTAAGGAACAAGGGGGAGACCGGTATGTCTCCACTAATGTATGCTGCAAACCAAGTCTCTGTATCAAGGGCTAAAAACCTCTATTGTTAGGGAGAAAGTTAAAGAAAATTCACAAATAAAGGTTAAAATAAAATAAAAAATTCAACTCACCATTTAATAAAGATCCTCTTACTTATACCTTAATGTTTGCCTCTTCCTGATTTTTGCAAATAGGAAAGTTAGTACTAACAAATATTTTTGCTAGCTTAATAAGGGGGAAAGAGAGTATAAAGAGAACATCAACTCATGGAAAGACTTTTTGTGAGGTTTAAGCTCTTAAGAGAGCATCCCCACCTGGGGATAGATTCACAGCAATGACAATAGAATAAGGAAATGGACTGTGTCACCTACAACTTACATTCTGAAAGTAAAGGTCTTGGTTAAACCTAATAATCAAAAAAAGTAGTTCTACAATTGCTAAGTCTCCAATTTGGTAGACTAACAAATTTTTATTTAGAAGGATGATCTAGAATCAAGACTTAAGATTTTAATACAGTGTTTCATATAGTGCAGAAATCCCATTTACAAATTCTTGAGTTATATTGCTTCTGCTAAATACTTATAATATTCAGAAGTTTCTTCTCTGGACACGAAATTGAAGACTGTGAGCGTAAATCTGAGAGCTTTTTTAATAATATTTATTTATTTATGCATACAAGAACTGGGGTACAGGCCAGAGGTGCGGGGAGTTAGAGGATTCACCAGAGACAGAGTGGGGAGCAGAATGGGCAGATTGACTGAAATATACTGCTGAGGGGAACAGCGGTGAAATGAGAGGTCTGCTGCGCCATGTGCGTTAGTTCCCTGGCTGGGGATCGAACTCAGTGCTTCAGTGGCTGCAGATAGCTTCATAGTGCTGAGACTTAACCCCTTGCACCACCAGGGAGGCCCAATCTGAGTGTTTTGTGCCCTTAAACTAGTAAATCTCATTTTGCAAGTTGATGCAGCATAGAAAAACTCCTTATCACCTACAGCCTGAATTCTAGTATCTCTCTTATTTTGCTCTTCTCTTATAAATATAGCCTTTCTTCAACCGCATTGATTTCTAGACTGCTAGTCTTCCTGATCTTCCAGATACTTTGATTTGCCAGTGTCTATTTTTATTTCAAAATAACATGACTAGTCCAGTTGTTGCCTAGCCAGTGGGACATAAGCACATGTACCATTTTCCTGTGGATTTTAGTAGCTGTATCACTCTTCAGTGAGTATATTTTAGTTTCTCTTATTCCTGAATAGCTCTGTTATACAGTAGCCAATAAACTGAGTATTGGGGTGGACTGAATAGATTTAAGGACCAACATATGCTTTTGAAAGCATATCCCTAAACTTAGCTATACTTTGGCTGACTTCTGCTAACTGTTCTGCAAACTTTCACCATAAACCTACTGATAAAGTGAAGGGGAGGTGCATTAAAAGAATATCTTCATGATTACCATGAAGAAGAGGATATGAAACAAAATTTTTGACAAATTTTACTGAGACAAGACTATTATTGGTCACCTACCATTACAGAGCAGGGGATCTCAGGCAGGGACTATGTGGAGCTTTCTGAAATGGCAGTGAAGAGCCAAGGACAACTGTGACTCTCCCTCTGCACTGGCCTGTGTGGCAATATAATAAAGCAAACAAGGATGTTCTCATTGATAAAGGCTACTGGCAGTTGCAGATTCTGAAGCAGTGATAGAATATTCTTCAGGCTTCAGCAAGAGAAAGTCTCACCACTTAGAGAAATGCCACTGGTAATTCTGAGCAGCTGTTTCATACAGTTTAGCACTAAATGTAGTAACTACTATGAACTGCTCTGTTCATGAAATTGGTATTTATCTAACAAAGGCTTTGAACTTGACTTCTCATTCTCTTCATACTTCTTCAGGAGAGATGTGTGACTCTAAAAACATGATACAGATGTGACTCAAAACATTTTGCTATTGACACAGAAAAAGACACGTTTTATATATATAAGTGGTTACCTGTCCTATCTATGTGAAATAACACTAAGTGAAAAAAGATACATTATTAGAAATCAAGTAATTTATTTCTGTCTATGGTTAAAATTCAGCTTTATTATCTTTTATTTTTATGTTTCAGGGACTTTGAAGGCAACCATATCCGTAATTTAAGAAATTTGACTTTTATTTCCTGCAATAATTTAACTGTTTTGTAAGTAATATTTTATCTTTTTGAAGTAATGTTACATCTCTTTTTAAACAATAAATGAATCACCTCATTATATTATAAAATGAATCATCCATGTGAACAGATGCTAGAATAAACATACCGAATAACTATATTTATTTACAACTTGAAATTTTGAAACTGAACTAGGCCTCTCGGGTTTTTTCTAAATATACATTGCCTCTTCCATGAAAGTGAAGGATGCTGAAGCTTCCTTCAGTCTAGAAATACAACTGCCTCATTCACCATTTATTTTTGAGAACAGTTTATTTTCCAAACTGTGGGTTGCAATGTAACACTGGGCAATGAAAGCAATGTAGCATGTCCTCACCAGCATTTTGGAACAGAACAGAATTGACCTGAATTGAATAAAAAAAAAATCAGACTGTAATTCTGATGATAAATGTATCATGAATGGTTTGTGTGGGTGTATTTTACATCCAAATGTCAAACACATTTCTTTTTCTAACTGTGGGTTACCCTGGGAAAGTTGGAAAACCATCATACTAGAATACAAAACCCCTGCACAGGAATGCAATTGCTATCAGTGCCAGGACAATAAATTTTCTCTAACCGTGTCCACCGTTCAGTGGATCTAAAGCCACTGAAATGTTTGAACTCTTCTGCAGTCAGCTCAGCAATCATCTGGTACTGGATGGTCTCTTCAGTCATGCAAAACAGCCCATACTATTGCACCTAAAGTTGCAAAGGAAGGCAGATTGCACCTAAAAGATACAGACCAAACAGATAGTTGAAGATCTTATCATTTCTTTTCTGCGCAACTTGTATTTGTTTTTAAAGAAACATCTGGGTGAACAAATCATTTGTGAGTTTCCTCTGGGTAGGTGCTTGTGTTTTTCTGGTACAGGGATATGGCGAGAAAGTGGAGACAGTTCAGAGTGCTGGGAGAACATTAGGGCTGGGACAAAACCCCTTTTCAACTCCCCTACGAATTTGTCATTTGTGCTCACTCATGACGCATGGTATCAGGGCAGAAATGAACTATCAGATGCTTTGATCTCATGCAACATCATAAACTGAAGATCTGAGTTGCTCCAGCTTAGAATAGACTTTCTTAGGCAACTCCACCCTTCATCACACCAATATGGGTTCTGTGTGGTGAGGCAGGCAGGCTACACAAACTCAAGAGGCGACTGCTCACTACGCTCTAGATTGTATGACATTCAGTTTTCCCAAGGGTTGAGTTTTTCACTTTTTCCCTTGCAGAGTTCTTCCCTATTTCACTTAAAAATTAGACTAATATTTTGTTATTTTCATCATGAAGAGGTTTGGGAAATTTAAGATTAAAATTAAATTGGGAAATATATCAGTCTACTTCAAAATATCTTGATGTGAAAATGCACTATATATAGTTATCTTTGTTTTTGCAAAATTGTTGATCTCTCTAGTAACTCATGTGTTGGGAACCTCAAGAAGTTACCATTTATTTTTCTTTTTACTCTCAGGGTAATGAGGAAAAACAAAATTAATCACCTAAATGAAAATACTTTTGCACCTCTCCAGAAACTGGATGAATTGTAAGTTTGATTAAACATATATTGATAAGAATTTTCTTTTTACTGTTGTATTTTATACTTGTTATATATTTAAGAACTGTTTTTACATACATCTTGAACCATAGGGAATTCATGTAGTTTATAAAAATATACATTAAAAAATATGAATAAGTACTTGAGGAAAGTGGGCAAAGGAAACATAGTTGTGGAGAAAATATTAGTATAGGGTAAAATAATAAAATATATGCTATAGGACCAGTCCTTTTAGGCAGCCCAATATGAGGTAATACCAAAATATCCTGCCACCGCAGTACAGGAATTCCAGTGTTTAGCAGGTGAAAGAAATCTGCACCCAAAATAATCCACTTCCATTTGGTAATCATAGTAAACCCAAGAAAAAGAAAAAAATTAAAACTCCAAGTAATATTACTGGATGAACAGGAAAGGGAGGGAAGACTGGAGGGGAACATAGGACACAGCACATATACTAATTTACTTAGAAAACTAGATCTACTGGAACCAGATCAAACACCATCAAGTGTTTGTCTCAGAGGGACTGATGAAATGGGATAAAAAAATTTTATCTTTTCCCATTACACTCTCTTGTTTTAAGCTTTTAGACTTCTGATAATTAATGTAGATCCCTAACAGCATTGTTTAAAAATTACATGATGTTTCCTAATGAAATACAAATTTGCAATTATATCCTTAGGGACTTAGGAAGTAATAAGATTGAAAATCTCCCACCCCATGTATTTAAGGATCTACAGGAGCTCTCGCACTTGTAAGTCTGCTATTGACTTTGTCATTTCATTGCTTGATTTTTTTTTCCAGATTGTGATAAAATAGATAAACTCAAAATTTACCATTTTAAACATTTTTAAAATATATAGTTCAATGGAATTAAGGACATTTTCATTATTGTACAACCAACACCATCATCCATCACCAGAATTTTTTCATCTTTCCAAACTAAAACTACGTAGCAAGTACTACTACTGTAGATCTTTTCAGTAAATATTTAAAAGTAGCCCATACTCAAGCTGTCCAGAGCCACTGCAGCACAAGTTCAGTCCCCGGCCAGGGAGCAACCCACATGGCGCAGCAGACCTCTCCTGTCTCGCCCGCTGCTCCCCTCAGCAGTGTACTTCCTCTTCTGTTCCCCACTCTGTCTCTGGTGAATCCTTTCTCCCACCACATTTCTGGCCTCTACCCCAGTTCTTGTATGCATACATAAATAAATCTTTAAAAAAAAAAACTCCACAAGCTACTAAAAAAACTACTTGAGTAGTTTTTAAAAATAATCTTTTCCTCCCTTTTCTTACAAACAGAAATCTTTCCTATAACCCGATCCTAAACATTCGAGTTGACCAATTTGATGATCTTGTCAAACTCAAGTCTCTGTAAGTACACACCACTGGAGATAGTTTATGATGAAATTGTTATTTATATGCTAATAGCTAATAGAGTCTATAAATTAAGTTTTTTAGAGTCTTTCTTTCAAATCAGAAACTTTGTTCCCAGGATATTAGTTAAGCTCCACAAAAAAATATGAGTGCTTGCTGGACTATAGATAAATGGCTATTAATTTCATCTTACATATTTATAAACTAAAAGTTAAGTAATGAATAATTTTACATGGGTCTATAATCACCAGAAACTTAGGATTGGATTGTTTTTCTTTGATCCACTGAAAGCATATATGCAGATTCATTCCTTCATTATTTTGTGGGGGTGAAGGGAAGAGTAAGCCAATTGAGAAAAAGGGGACAATGGTATGGCGAAGGTCAGAGTTGGACTTTTAGTGTTGATTTTAATGTAGTGTGTGTGTGTGTGTGTGTATGTGTGTATGACTGTTATCTCTCACGATGAACACCAAAACATGTATTATAATGTGATGTTACTCCAATAAAAAAGTAAAAAAGAAGCCAACACATTTTATTAAATTGTCCTTCATGAAAACTCATTTTATTATATGCCCTGTATAACATGTTATTTTAATAATTTTTAATTTTAGCAGCCTAGCTGGAATTGAAATTTCAAATATCCAACAAAGGATGTTTCAGCCTCTTGTGAATCTCTCTCACATGTAAGTAGATGTTCTTGCTCTTCACCTTGATTTCTATCTTCCGTTTCTACATGTATTGGCCTATTACATCCGTACCTACTGCATTCAGTCCATTAACACTTCCTTCTGACTACTTTTACCTAAATAACAGTCAACTCAAAGTGTGATACTGGGTGGGAAGATTTTTAGTTTTCCATAGTTTGGTAGAATGTCAGAGAATGAAAGTGTTGCGAGAACCCACTCATTATTATGCATTCTCCTTGGCTCTGATATCATTCATGGATATTGATGCAAACCAAATGAGCTAGCAGTTTGTACACAGGTATAACTATTAGCAGATGAAGTAGGAATTTATATAAACAACATAAATAATTGCTATAATGGAGGAACGCAGGGAGACATATTCCTCAGTGAAAATTATCCCCGGTATCAAGACATGATTTGTGCAAGTACGCAGGGATGTAATAGCAATGTGTCTCATTGTACTGTTGATTGTGTGATTTAGAAACATTTTCTTAAATTTAATGCAGTCTTATTGCAGGTATTAGAATGATCCCCCTGCCATTATAATTAATTCTCAGTAATTTAGAAAATGGCATGCTATAATTGTACTTACCTTCTTATCTTTTAAGTTTGATACAGGACTCTCTGCTTTTGTTGTCCATAATTCTTAAAAGAGAACACTGAGTAAATTAAGCAAAACAGAATTTATCAGGGGAGATGAAGTAGTTCACAAATCCAGTAAACAACTAGAGGAGCAAAATTAAGTTGGTCAGAAACCTTGACAGATCCAGGACGTAAGAGCTAAACAAGGAATAACATATTGGAATCGTCAAACTTATATATTATATCATTATCACTGCAGCTTTTGATGCCATAAATATCACTTCATGTTTTACCAGAGCACTTTAGAGGCAAATGTTGAATCCCAATTTTTACATTTATCAGAACATTTTTTCTAGCAAATAATTTGTCTTCATTAAATATTCCTCTCTTCCTATGGTGATCCTAAAACATACCTCATGGAGTTGATTAGAGAATTTGTTCTGCATACCTAAATGTTCAATAAATGGTCTGGGTGTTGGTGGCAAAATAGCAGTTACTGTGGCATCTTTATCAACAAGTGGCATCTTTATCAACAAGAAAGGTCTATGGATGAAATAATTCACGCCCCAGATATTTACTTTAGAATCTTATTATGTGCTTAAATCCAGCATGAGAGAGAGGCATGCTAGCAAGTAATTACAGATCAGATCGTCATTACTTCTATCATAGAAAAGCCATGGAAGCCCAGAGGAGAGAGCCTTCACCTCTCTTCTCTGAAGGTAAAAGCAGAATGAGTTACAGTAGTGGCTGTGTAACTGCATTTACAACTGTGCATTTACAGTGCTAAATACTGGGAGCCCAGTATCTCTTTGAGTGGACTCTCTTGATCATATGCTAACAGCTTATTTCTATTATAACACATATGTACCAACTGCGTAATCACTATGCATATTTGCTGTTCTCACTCACACATTTTTTTTACAGGGAAATCAAGTTAATGAGAATTAAAGCCAAGTTATTTTAAATCTTCTTTTTTCCTTCTCTTTGTGTATCAGATATTTTAAGAAATTCCAGTACTGTGGCTATGCACCGCATGTTCGCAGCTGTAAGCCAAATACTGATGGAATCTCATCTCTAGAGAATCTCTTGGCAAACATTCTTCAGAGAGTATTTGTCTGGGTTGTATCTGCAGTTACATGCTTTGGAAACATCTTTGTCATTTGTACTCGACCATATATCAGGTCTGAGAATAAGCTGCATGCTTTGTCAATTATTTCTCTTTGCTGTAAGTATTTCCAGGTTGAAATTCTGATACATATAAAAGCATTGCTATCAGAAAATAGAGTAGTAAAATTATGAGATTTTTAAATTCTCTTCTCTTTGCTTATGTGTTGGAACTGATTCTAATCTTTAAACAAAGTTTGAATAATTTTATCATTTAATAAATATTGTTCTTAACAAAGAAAAAGAATTACTTTAGCAATTAAATTAATTTTTAAAACAAGAAAATTCAATCCCCATATCCAGATTACTAAAGCTCTTACTCATTTTTTTCTCTGATGGGATGATATTTTATTAAATGCCTTTTACTATGAATAAAAAATGCAATCTTTCATGGTACCATTTTTTACAGTCATATACATATTTGCTTTCATGGCCAGTTTATAGATATTGGCTTAACAGATTGTTTTTCCTGGTTTCTGAGCTACTGGAATCTTTTCCATCCACAATATGAAACATTTAAATAGGAAAATGTTTTCAGGTAGTATTTCAATTTTTTTTAAGTTTTTGAAATGTGGTTGGAAGGTAGTATGTTAAGTGAAAACTACAAAGGAAAGAAAGCAGGAAACCAGTCTTCGGAGTATTTATAGTTTGGGTCAAATGACCTATAACTTCTCCACACTCCCTCAAGCCAGCATCAGTCTTCGCGATGTTCTACATGCTGTGTGTGCTATCCCAGGCCTTACCCCAACCTCATTCACTCTAACGTCTAATTTGTTTTTCATTGCAAGACAGCTGAGAAACAGAGCTCAAAAATTGTTCTTTGTATTAACTACAAATTTTGAGTACCTTCAGTTTCCCTGGTGAAGATTAGAATGTAACTTAAATGTTTAAGGATTAGATCAGTCTTATAATTTATATAGTAATATGACTTTAGGAACCTTATGTAGAATGCTTGCATAGGCAAAATCTGTGATACCTGACATGTAATGCTTGCTTAAAATGCAAATACAGAAGCAGTGTATCTCATTGACAACTGATTTTGAGACTGGGAGAAACTGAAAGAGAAGGAGAAGATGTAGAAATGGAAAAAAGATAAGGGAGCACAGTTGTCCTTAGGCTGTTCTGGGCAAATAATTTAAGTCCCCAAAATGCAGTCCCCAGTACTGACTGCAAAGCACTTCATAAATATTCCTATCTTCTCATATACAGACCTCAAAGTTCACAGTCATTACTCTCCCACAGGAACTTCTGGATTACTTTCTCTGGGATATTGGATGTCCATCAGTTGCTAAGCTGGGGAAGTTTCTGTGAAAGAGTTCATGAAAAATAATATCCCATCTTGGTCCCTAGTTGAATTCTCAACGTAATTGTATTTTATGCATGTATGCAACAATTCTAGGTGGTAAGACCAAAATGGAAAACAAAACAAACAAGATCCTATACTCATCAACTTGCATATTTGAGGGAAAAAGGGAATAATTACATAATTAGCCATGAAGGGTACTGTGAATTGTCATCAAGGAGAGTTGATGAACAGGTCCTTACCCATAGGAGAAAAAAAAAAGTTACCTTCTCTGAGATAGAAGAAACTGGTTATTTTTGTATTTTCAAAATATTACTGGTTGTTAAGTAAATCCATCATACCTACTTATTTCTCTAAATTTGCAAAATTTACTGATCCCTGCAGGTGCCGACTGCCTAATGGGAGTATATTTGTTTGTGATTGGAGCCTTTGACCTAAAGTTTCGTGGAGAGTACAACCAGCATGCACAGCTGTGGATAGAGAGTGTTCATTGTCAGCTTATGGGATCTTTGGCCATTCTGTCCACTGAAGTATCAGTATTACTTTTAACATTTCTGACACTGGAAAAATATATCTGCATTGTGTATCCTTTTAGATGTTTGAGACCTGGGAAATGTAGAACAGTTACAGCTCTGGTTCTCATTTGGATTATTGGATTTGTTGTGGCTTTTATTCCACTAAGCAATAAGGAATTTTTCAAAAACTACTATGGCACCAACGGTGTATGTTTCCCTCTTCATTCAGAAGATGCAGAAAGCATTGGAGCTCAGATTTATTCGGTGGCAATTTTTCTTGGTAAGACTTTCTGTATTATAGGCCCTTTCATTCAAATGTTCAAATAAATCACAATATGAGTATCATTATGCCTCCTGCTGTTTACAAATTCTAATTTCAAATCCTCTAACCAGTTTTTCTTCATTGATGTTGGAGATGAATTCTATCAGAGTTCCCTAAAGGAATCTGTTTTTCAAAATTACTCTTTTATCATATACATTCCAGCCTGATAAAACTTTAATAAAAGACCAGACACTAAGCACTTGCATTTCATACAGTTACTATTATATGCTAAGAAAAATGTATTTCAACATTTCTCTTCACAAAAAAAGCAAATTCAAAGTAGCCATGCAAGTCTTTGGTTTGCAAATAGACTACAAGTGTTTTCTTTTACAAAAAATATTGTCAGAATATAAATCAAAGTAACTGATTTATGAAAAGATACTAGAAAAATTAATTTCATAGAGACCTATAATATTCACTGAATAACTGTCATTTGATTTTTAACTTGCATTTTCAAATTAAACATTTCATCATTCACTATTTTATTTTTATTTATTTATGCATACAAGAACTGGGGTGTAGCTCAAAAGCGGGGGTGTGGGGGACGTAGGGAGGAGGTGAGAGGTTTCACCAGAGATAGAGTGGAGAGCAGAACAGGTAGATTTACTGAAATACACTGCTGAGGGGAGCAGCAGGCAAGACAGGTAAAGTCAGCTGTGCCATGTGGGTCAACTCCCTGGCCTGGGGATAGAACTCATTCCACAGTGGCTGGCAATAGTTTGATAGTGCTGAGACTTTAACCCCTGGGCCACCTCAAATTTTTTAAAATAATGATTTATACAAATTCTTATGAAGAACAAAAAACACATTTTGGTCTTTGTATTCTCTCAATAATAGTAGCCATGGGTATATTTTGTTTATTTGTTGGTTTGTCCATTTGTTTTGAAAGAATGTTCATATTCATTAATAATAATCTCTGTCCTAAATAGGTATTAACTTGACGGCATTTATCATCATAGTATTTTCCTATGGAAGCATGTTTTACAGTGTTCATCAAAGTGCCATCACAGCAACTGAAATACAGCATCAAGTTAAAAAAGAAATGATCCTTGCCAAACGTTTTTTCTTTATCGTATTTACTGACGCATTGTGCTGGATACCCATTTTTGTGCTGAAATTTCTTTCATTGCTTCAGGTAGAAATACCAGGTACAATTTTTTTTTTCTTTTTGCTTTCTGTATGGAAATAATCTGTTTCTGCAATGTTCCTCTAAGAAAGAAAATTAAGATCCTTAATACAATTTGTCTCAAGAATGTTAAGTTCGATTTATATGTACTTCAAATTCTGTTCATCAATAAAATATTTACTAAGAGGAGGGAGCTACTCAGTTTTCCATTAATGACTATCAGCACAATTACTATCATAACAAAGGAGCAATAACTCAAATAAATTACACTCAATGTATTGAAATTCTGATAATCTCATGCTTAAGATGACCAGAAATGAAAACAGGTCAAAACAATTATCCAATAGCTACTTCCTTTTTTTCAGAATGTAAGAAATTTTTCTTCCCCTCCGGAATACCAAACAATTTAGATGACATTATCCCAGACTATGAGAGGTAATAGAAGAAAATACTCTTGATTCTTAAAAAGTTAGGCTATAATCACAAACACAGAAAATCACATGTGGTGATAAGGATGAAGAGAAATTGACACTGTGCATAGCTAGTTAGAATGAAATGTGCACAGATACTATAAAAAAAACAACAACAGGGTAGTTCCTTAAAAATAGAGTTACCATATATATGATCCAGCAATTCTAATTCTAGGACGAAAACCAACATAATTGAAAGCAGGGACTAAAACAGATACTTGCACACCTAAGTTCATACTAGCATTAATCACAGTAGCCTAAATGTGGAAAGAACCCAGGTATCTGTGGATGGATGAATGAACAAACAATGTGGTCCATACACAATGGATTATTATTCAGCCTTAGAAAGGGAGGAGATTCTGATATGTGCTACACCGCGAATGGCCTTAAAGACGCTATGCTAAGTGAAGTAAGCCAGTCACAAAAGACAAGTATTATGTGATCCACTCATCCGCGTCAACTGCAGTAATTCAATTCATAGAGAAAGAAAGTTTGTGGATGGTGGTGTTGGGGGCTTGGGGGAGGAGGGGATGGAGGAACATTGCTTACTAAGTATGACTTTTCAGTCTGAAACGATGAGAAGTGGAAGTTGGTGATGGTTGCACGACCATGTGAATTTACTTCATGAACTTAATGCTACTGAGTTGTACACTTAAAAATGATTTACACTTAAAAATGGTCAATTTTATGTTATGCGTCTTACCCCAATTTTTACAACGTGCAAAATTCTGTATACTGTAAATATAAGGCAGACTATATACACATTTTTTTTAATTTATAAATGCACAATTTTAATTTTGTTTTATGCCATGGTTAGTGGTGATAGTAGCTTATATTTTATAAGCACAAAAAGAGAAAGATAGTGTCAATTGAACTATAATGAAAACCTGAGTATTTGGTAGTTGCATATATACTAGATTTTTAAGATGTGATTAGTCAGAGACGCTTTCACTGAAATAAATATCTAATCAAAAGCATAAAAATGTACTTAAGTTTAGTATATGTGCTGCCAAAGTGTGTACTTTTTTAATGTGTCACAAATTTACATACCTATTTTTAAAAACAACTAGCAGAAAAATAATCGATAAAAGATAAATCTACATATTCTGAGAAATACTATATGTACTACCTCGTAATTAAAATATTTGAAAGGCACGACTTAATTACTAAGTGATATTGTTTTTCCTAAGATGGAATCATAATAATATGTAACCAGTTGGTAGAAAATATTTCTGCCTAATGGAATTATGTTGATATATTGGAGAAAAGCTACTTAGCAAAGAACCCTGTTTTTTTGCAGCACCAGCACTCCCCTCAAACACTGGCACTCTGGAAAGACATCTGGAAACACATGTAGACTTGGTATTTAATTATGTAACATCAAAGGGGGAAAATTAAGACGCAAAAGGGGGCTGGAGGGAAACAAGGAAAAGGGGTTTCTGTACTTTATAAACATCCATAAACATGAAAACTCTTTCACTTTTCTCTTCCAGGTACCATAACATCTTGGGTAGTGATTTTTATTCTACCTATCAACAGTGCTTTGAATCCTATTATCTATACTCTGACCACAAGACCATTCAAAGAAATGATCCATCAATTTTGGTATAACTACAGACACAGAAGATCTACTGACAGCAAAGGAAGTCAGAAAACATATGCTCCCTCCTTCATCTGGGTAGAAATGTGGCCACTACAGGAGATGCCACCCAAGTTAATGAAGCCGGCCCTTTTCAGAGACCCCTGTGAACTGTCACTGATTTCTCAATCAACTAGACTCAATTCCTATTCAAACTAACTTGGAGGCCCATTTCTTTACATATAATACTGTGGGTGCTTCAAAATGGATTTGTTGGTATAAAATTAATATCACAAAATTAATAACTTATATTAATGGCTAAAATAAATTAGCTTATGATAACAAAATTATTTGGGAAAAATAAGTGATAAGCATATAATGTAAAATAAATTATATATTGACAATGTATATATTAGTAGATATTTTGCACAGGAAATTAAGAGAAATCTACTTCATAATCATTCTTTTACCGTGTATTTATTGAGTACCCATTATGTGCATGGCACTGGGGTAAATTCCTAGAAGTAGACAGTATAGAATCCTTTCAATTTGTAAAGTTAAATTGTGTATAACTATAACTGAACACTGTCTGCAGCTCCTAGTGTAAGGTAATGCTTTTTCTGTCATGCATATCAACAAACATAAGAATTATGTGCACTTTAATAAAGGTTTAAGGTTTTACTTACTCATTAATGTAAAGAAATGGCTGTTTGCAAAATGCAGATATTCTGTTTTAAGAATTCATCTTACCTCTGCACTTTAAAGCCAATACAACATATTACTATGAAAAAATGATACCCTGGTATAAACTCAAAATGCCACTTCTCTGCCGCTTCCTGCCCAGTTTTCATTTTGCTTAAATGAGCACCACCATATGGAGCTGGAAAAGGAAAGTAGAAGTATTGCAAAGGATTGAATCAGAAAAGCTAGACTAAGGATAGACATTTAGATAAAACAGAATTGAGAGTCCAAAAATAAATACATCCACAGTCAACTGAATTTCAGCAAAGATGCCAAGAAAATCAAATGGCCAACAAATATCTTTTCAACAAATGATGCTGGGACAACTAGATAGTCATTTGCAAAAGAATGAAGTGGGACCCTTACCTTAAACCATAAATTTTATCATATGTAAAAATTAACTCAACAATTAATTAATAATGTAAATGTAAAAGATAATACTCAGAAGAAAATTACTGGGTAGATCTTCAAAGACCTTGAATTTGGCAAAATAGACTCTTAGATATGACAACAAAAACATGAACAACAAAAAGGAAAGAATGTAAGTTGGACTTCGTCTAAATTTAAAAGTGTGCATATCAAAGGGCAAAATATTTGCAAATCATATATCTAAGAAGGGTTGAATAACCAGAATTTACAAAGACCATCGGCAACTCAACAAAAAAGACAAGCAGCCCAATTTAAAACTGGGTAAAGAACTTGAATAGACATTTTTTCCAAGGAAGATATGAAAGGGTTAAGAAGTACATGAAGAGATGCTAAACATGACCAATGTTAAGAAAAGGCAAGTTAAACCACAATGAGTTAACACCTATTAGGAGCACTGCAATTTTAAAAGGACAGAAAATAACAAGTTTTGACAAGGACCAGAAGATTAAAACTTCTCTACATTGATTTCTGTTTCACGAACATCTCTTGAATCTATGTCTTTTTATCCTATCTTCAAGTAACTCGGTTTGGGTCAGCAACATGTCTCACCCTATTTGCAATTATTCAACAAGTTTCTGTACCTCCAGTTTTAATTTGCTCAGTGGCTTTACAGGTACTTAAGCATCTCAACAAAAAAAATTAGCCTCAGGGGGAAAACTAAATGTTATAAAGTTATAAATATTATAAAGTTTTTCTATGATGGGTGACTAAAAGAAAAAGCAAATAGGTTATTTTCAAGTGGAATATTAGGGTTCGCCAGAGAAACAGAATAGAGAGAAAAAAAAAAAAACCTTAGAATTGGCTCATGTGATCATCTCCATGGTCCAAAATCACGGATGGATCTAAAATCTGTTCAGTTGAGCTAATATCCTGATTTGAGTCTGGAGGCTGGAAACTGATGTCATAAAAGGCAATGTTCCAGTTCAAAGGTCATTAGGTAAAAAGAGCCAGTGTTCCAAGGTCATGAGGGAGAATTCCCTTACTCAGGGACGGTCAGCCTTTTGTGTTATTCAAGCCTTCATCTGACTGAATGAGGCCCCCGCATTATGGAGTACAGTTTGCTTTACTCAGCCTACCAATTTATTGATTTCATTCAAAAACAAACTTGCAGAAACACGCAGATATCTGGGTACCCTATGACCCAGTCAACACATAACGTAAACCATCACAGATGGGGAGAATAAATTATAAACGTGAATATTAAGAAGTCTAATCAAGAGCTAAGTGTGGTATACACAAGCACACTAATTTATGTGTCAGAGACCCCTGGGCAAATTATTTCCTAGTTTCATATATTATAAATAGACATATTATCACTTTCCTCAGAGAGCTAATGTTAGATAAAATGATTAGGGCCTCCCCTGGTGGCGCAGTGGTTGAGCCTCTGAAGTGCCAGTTCGTTCCCCAGCCACCTGCAAGGGTCCCACATGGCACGCAGACCTCTCCTGCCACGCCTGCTGCTCCCCTCAGCAGTGTACTTCATCAATCTGCCTGTTCTGTTCCCTGCTTTGTCTCTGGTGAATCCTCTTACCCTCCCGCGCTTCTGACTGTACCCAGTACTTATATAAATGAATCTTAAAAAAATAAAAATAAAAAATGATTATAAAATTCCTGGCAGTGCCTGACACTCATAAGCACACCCTTCCAAAAAATACTTTTAATGCTAAAAATTTCATCTTATTGGCTTCAGTCTCTTGAGGCTTTCAAAATTTTCTATCAGGAAGAATATCAAGTTTTCCTCTAAGGCTTGTGTAAAGCTGGCAATGAATTACTAAGTTTATTTCCTTTGTTTCTTAAGTCTTTAAGAAAATGTTTATGCCTTTGAGTTCTTTCCCAACCTCTCCCATGAAGCAAAAGGAAATATAAAAAGGTTTTTTTAAGTCACTCTTAAAAGTAAAATGAACTTTTCTGTGGACCACACTTGGCAATAGAAACTACAAGCAGAGCTGAGCTGTAGCCAGCCATTACCAAGTACAAATTTTGTCCTGGGGAAAAAACTAAGTGTCCACAGAAGGCTCATTGCCTAAAATCAGGGGTTTGACTTAAGCTGACTAAATTCAAACTATTAAGTCAACAACATGTTGCTGTTGTTTTCTAATTGAAGACAGCATATAGGGAGAAGGGTAAGTCACACAAAATCAAAGCAGTTCAGGTACAGCAAGTTACAGGGAGTCTTAGCATGGGCTAAGCAAGTAAATCAAAAATAACACTCTAAAGAGCAGGATAGAGCTCAGAACGGCACTTATAGAGTAGCTGGATGACAGATAGAGCATTTGAAACATTGGTACTTGGAGGAACAGAGGAACATATACAAAAATAAACATGATCCCAAATCACACCATAAAGCAAAAATAAAGTCAGGTAAATTACACCTCCTAAACACTTTTTAATTTTTTTTAACTTTTGCAGAAATATGTAGAACATCTTTTTTTTTTTTTTTTAAAGGTTTATTTAATTTATTTATACAAGCACTGGGTACAGTCAGAAGCGCGGGAGGGTGAGAGAATTCACCAGAGCCAGGGCGGGGAGCAGAGCAGGCAGAAGGACCGAAGTACACTGCTGAGGGGAGCAGCAGGGGGCAGGAGAGGTCTGCGCGCCATGTGGGACCCTCCTCTGGTGGCCAGGGAGCAGCCGGGGATCTAACAGGCGCTGCAGAGGCTGCGGGCAGCTTTGCAACCCAGCGCTCAACCGCTGCGCCACTGGGGAGGCCCAATATGTAGAACATCTTTATGCTGTGTCCTATGTAAGGGTCTACAAGACCCAGAAGACACTATTATGAATGTTTGGTGATACTACATTAAAATCTAAACTCATTCAACTCCATAATCAAAGACAAACCACAGATAGAAAAGATAGTTGAAATGTAACAAATCATTAGTTTTCAAAATATATACAAATCTTAAGGAAAAGACAAAACATAATTTAAAAAATTGGCAAGAGGTATGACCTGGGAAATCACACACTGCATTTCTTCAACACTATGGTAGTTATGTTAAGTGAGCACTCTTCCTGCTGTACAAGACTGTACAACGGCGTCAATACGAAGACACAGGCTGTCACTGGAGCCATCTGGAGGCTAGTTGCCTATAAACAAAACAGTGTTTTGTAGTGCTCTGAAAACATACTGTTATTAAAAAACATAAAAAGACAAACTAGAATATACACCATCTCTAGGGTAGTAGTTACCTCTGGGAAGGAAAGAAGGGAATGGAATCAAAAAGGTAACAAAATGTAGCTAATATTTACATTTTTAAAATATGCATATCTGAAGAAAGAGAGCCAAATTCTAACATTTATTAAATCTGCATGGTGAGACTACAAGGATTTCTAAATCATCCCCTTTTCCTGTTATTTCAATAAAACATTTTAAAATAATAAACCCAAAAAAGTGGAAATAAAATTTGCTTTAAGATTTTATTTCTGTACATTTGAAAACTGCAATTTCATACATATAAGAAAAATAATTTTCTAATAACAAAATAAGCATCTCTTTGGTAATGGAACACAGCATATGTGTAATTATCAACGTAAAAAATGAATCAAGAACTATGACCTAATATGCTAAACAAAACTATTCTTTGTCCATCCATTTGTCCCCTTGCATGGCCCCCTTGTGGGTGTTAGAATATAGCTCTGTACACATCTCCGGATCTACAAAGAATTAAGATGCCATATCAAAGACATCCAGAAGCTATATAGTAGAGAACTAGGTACCTAATTGCTGACACATGACATACACAACCAGAAAAAGAGAAAGAGGATAACATAAGATTCAGAACAAATAAAACAGAAAACAATTGCATCACTCAGATTTGATGCATTCAAAACAAAGTAACATCTTTAAAATTACAGACAACTTGCAAAGCTCCAAAAGCAATCATACAGAACCATAATTTTAATAAGGCACTTAAGGAGAACAAACATAAGAATATCAAATATAAGAAATATCATCTGTAAAAGCAGTTAAGCTTAGAAATAAATAGGGTAAAACAGGCTTTCATTTTCTGAAAAGCTTTTTAAAAAAGCAGCACAGAAGGGCAAAAAATATCTTAACATGTATTTAAAAGCTGTAATCAGTTAAGGGAAGCATTTCACTTTAACTCAATGAAGTTCTGATTGAAATCTGTTTTTTGACAATTACAACATTCATGCTAAAAACAGGAAGAAAAAATAACTTTTAACTGTTGTCAACTCTTATTTAATGAGGGTTGTGTGACATTGTTCTAAGTACTGAGGACACAGAAGAAGCCATCACTGGTTCTAGAGAACTTGAGCTAACACTGGTAACCTTGGAGTTAATACCCACACTGCATAAATTGAAGCTCAACTTCAAATTCTGCCATTCTTGGAGTCTTTTTGCAAAATGAGCAATAGTCTACCTCATTTGCTACTGGTAACACCATGGCATTGTTAAGATTACCTACCCATAAAGTAATTTTCATTAAGTTTATAGAACAAAAAGCATTTAAGAATAAACAAATATTAACCAGCAGCAAAAAGTAACATCAGTATGTGGCTTTCCCAAAAGCAAGAAAAACTTCACCGTGAGTATACAGAACTGCTAGAAAGAGAATATCTTATAGATAAGGTACATGTGCAAATATCTTATATGACAAAGTGTGAATTATTACACAGTCAAATCAGTTATCTGGTTTCAAAGAATCATAGCCTTCTTTCAAGAGGTCCCGCCATGTTTTAAGGAAGCGTGCATTTTCTGTACATTTTAAGGTAAGTTCTTCCACTTGAGCTGATACTGCAGATGTGGCTTCAAGAAGTTTGGTTAATGAAAATGCTGCCTAAAATTAAAAAAAAAAAAAATCAAATAAAAAGCTTATTTTTAAAATTACCAACTTGTTTTATAAAAAGCCATAAAGGAACTTAGAACCTTGAATCCAATACCCAAGTAAATTTATTTAAAAATTTAAAAAATCTTCAAAATAAAACACCACTCAGGGAACCTAGAAATTCTTTAATGTGAAGTATGCTTTGAAGAAATAGGTCTACTTGAAATAGGTCTAATTCCTATGTAAGAGACCTGACAACTGAGTACTTTTTTTAACTGAAAATACAAGGGAATATCATTTAGCTTAACAAAGTGATTTGGATCCCTTGACATTAAGTACAAGGTATCTGAAGTCACCATAAACAACTCATTTATATTTAGGGAACTTGGGAATTGTTTCATTTTAGTTTTCAAGCTGTGAACACTTCAGATCATGAAAATGTACAGCCCAAAATTTACAGCCCAAAGAACTGATCCCACAAATACATCAACAAAATCAAAACACATACAAATGCTGAAAATATCCAGGTCTTGGTGAAAACTCACTTTTTTTTTCTTTTGAAAGTTTTTTTTAATTTTTATATTCCCCGTACAATTGCACCCCCCTTATTTTGACCCCTTTCCTCGCCCCCCCCCAATAGTGTGTCTCTGGTTTATAGTAGTTTGTTGATTTTGATTTTTCTTTTTCTTATAGTTATTCTTTTTCCTGGTCCCTTTTTTAGGTTTTCTAGATTCCTGCTATGAGTGAGACCATCTGGTACTTTTCTTTTTCTTTCTGGCTTATTACTCTGAGCATGATCCCTTCCAGCTCCATCCATGTTGCTGCAAATTGCATGAGAAAACTCACTTCTTAATCAAATTATTTCCTCACCTAATCTATAAAATAACACTGCTCCTAGGTAACACATCAGCAATCCACTCTACATATGCACTTGAAACCAGGCTTGTTCAGCAAAAAACAGCCGGATCAGCACTTCAGACATCTTTTAAGAAAACAAATACTTGTTGAGCAATGAGATAATCGAGTTTACTCCCTAGTACCAATCTGCACGGAGGACCAAAATTTCCAAAAAGATTACGCCCTACATTTCTCATTCCATCACACCCACTCAAGAGGCCTGAAATACTGACACCTTGACCTCTGCACCTGAGTGTGTGTGTGCTCGGTTGGGGGATGGAGGTGCGGGCGCGCCAGTCTCTGGGAATTCCAGATTCCGCAGAAACCACCCGGTTCTCGCAATTACACTCGGGGTCTTTAACGAAGCCAACCAGACCCGAGGGGCCGTAACTAACCGCTCCAGGCAGCGTCCCGTGCAAAGTGCACAGCACGCCTGGGACAAACAATAGCATTTCCAGCCGGCTCTGGGCAGGGGGCCAAGTGGAACAGAGGGCTCGCAAACCCCGGGGCAGCAACCACCGCCCGACCTCCCTGCACCGCAGCCAGCAGCGGGGAGGGGAGGCCAGAAAGGGCTGCACAGTCCGCGCGGGAGAGCCGCGAGGTTTCGGGTTACAGCGGATAATGGAAACCAGAAGGCGAGGCAAAAAATAAAGAAAAGTGGGGGTGGGAGGTAACCCCTGACTCCCCAGGGGTGGGGGCAACTGGACCAGGCCGCGGGCGCGCCGGACGTCCCAGCGCACATCCTGGGGGCGGCAGGAGGGGGGACCCCAGGGTCGCGCTGGACTCCCGGCCCGGACTGGCCCCCCGGGTCGGGCTTCGGCCCCGCGCGCGCCCCCGACACTCACGTCCCCGATCTGCAGCGCCACCTCCTCCAGGGGGTCCACCGCGCGGCCGCTGCTCCGGCTCGGAACCGGCCAGTCCAAACGCGCCGGGAGGCCGGGAGAAGATGCCGAGGAGTCGTCTGAGCGCGGGGGAGAGGACGGCAGCGCTGGCGGCGACGGAGAAACCCGCACCTCCTCGGGGGCAGCCATGGAGACGAACCGGGACCACGGGGTGGATCTGCAGCCGCCCAACCGATACCAGCCGCCTTTCAACCGCTCGCGCCCTAAGCCCACAGGCCCCGCCTTCCCCCGCCCAGAGTCTCTCCGGGTCTCCTCTTGGGTCTCGGCCCAAAACCGCGAAGACTTTTCATTTTTCCCCGAGACCCAATCAGAAGTTAGTGCCTTCTTCTTGCAGCGTCTCGCCTCTACCGGAACCACCAATCGGACTCAGCGAGCGCTTGCGCAGAAGACTACAGCTCCCAAGATGCCACGCGCGTCGCCCCGCCTCCTCTACCGGCGACTGTGCGCGTTGCACTATAGGAAGTGTAGTTCCCTGACCTCTGCTGCCCCCACTCCCCCCACCCCCAGCCCGACGCCTGCGCACTTGCCACGCCTGGTTGAGAAGGAAATGCGGATCCAAACGCAACCAGGAGCCATGGGCAGCGCCGGGCCTTGGAGGCCCTCACTCTTCCTTCGAGACGTGACCCGGAAGTCTCTGCTGACCATGCGTCATGCGCGGCGCCGGCGCAGAGTGAGGAATAGGAGGCGACGCGGCGACGCCAGAGCGGGCGTCCGAGAGGAGAGGCGGACTTCGGCGGAGGGTCGGCGCTCGCCCAGGTGATGGCGCCCCCCACGGCCTAGAGGTCCGGCGCCCGCAGCGAGCCTCGCGGTCTCCGTGTGTCCGACAGAGTCCTGGTTACAGTGAAGATGTCGGTCCCGCTGACCAGGCTGTCCTGCCCGGGTGAGAGGGGACACGGGGCGGGCGTGAGTGGAGGAAGGTCGAGGAGTGAGGGCGAAACGGGCAGGACCGAGCCCGGGGCTTGCGGGCATCTCTCCCCTCCGTTTCCTTTGTCAGCTTTCTCAGGCTGAACTCGGGCGAAGGTCACGGCGTCTGCACCTGGGGGGTGACCCCAGTTCCTTCCCCTGAGGTTGTCCCAGTTGGAAGAGTTGACAACTAGGCGAAAGGTCACGGGCGAAGGAAACTTGGCAACATGGTCCCCGAGTGGACTTCTGAACTGGGGCTTTCCAAATCCTTATCCCAAAGCTCAGGGGTTACCTAGTGCCTGTTTGGAAATGGGGAAAAAAAAATTGTATCTCAACAGTGTTTCTCCTTGGCCACCTGACTTGTGAATTTGCAGCAGTCATTTCCTTAAGAATTGGAAGAGTGATCTGTCACATCGTGATTAACGTTCATTTGCTGCTCAAGTCACCAGGTTATATCAAGAGCCAAATAGTTTTCTACATTGTCTAAAATTAACTCGATGGGATGATCGTATTGTGGGTCCACCTAGAACTCAGGATGACTCCTGAAAATACCTCATTACCGCCCCCTTTCCGTTAAAAAATAATGTTAGAATAAAGCAATTACATTAAACTTTTCCAAAAGTTCATTACAGGAGCTTGAGGTCTATCACAAGTGGCTTTTTAAAATAAACTTTATAGAATTTTTTGTTATAGAAAAACAATGTGCACATTTCAAATTCAAGGATATTCTTGTATAAATTTCGTAAGGGTAGAATTTTGTCAAATTTGGTTCCATTCATTGAATGATTAGAATTTGGTTTAAAGCTCTTGTAATTGTGCATGTATTACTACACCTAACGTGTAGATATGTTTGTCTTTTGACCATCAGAGTGTATCAGCCCTTCTGTCTGATTTAGTTGAAATCATTATTGGACCAAGTGCTAAGCAAATTTCACCAAAATTATCTTTTTCCTTTTCCTTGGATACTTAGATTATTGGAGATGGTCCCAAATGCCCTGTTATTGTGACTTTAATAAGGTGTTGTTACAAGTTCTGTAACTTTTTGGCCTCACTTCTCTACCAAAATTTAGCCAAATCTTAAGTGTTCATGTCACTGAAGTGAAATACCTGATTGGTTTTCAGAAAGGGGTAAAGGTTGTGACTTTATTTTAACCCCCTTGAGAAAGTCAGATTACTCTGTTCCAAAAATCACTAGCACTACAAGTAATAGATTTACAGTTTTGTCTGATACCAGAACAGCAGTTCTCAGATGCAAAATGATAACTTCCGTTACTTAATTACAATGTATCATAAAACAAGTAATCTTTAATAAATAGTACAAATATTATTATGCAGAATACTATATTTGAACTCAGGAACTGATACATAGTATTTTATGTATCTTTTTTTTGCTGTGTTTGTGCTACTTATTTTGTTTATTATTTTATTACATCAGTTAGCATTTGTCAAAGGTTTAATTTAATCATTTGTTTTTTTATTGCGAATCATTGCTTTGCAACACTGTATATAGTTTATCAGTATAGGATCACACCCTGCAGGTATATTACTGCACCACACCCACTGTTAAAGGACCCACATTCCTCTACCATAGTCCATTGAGCCCCCTCCCCATTTTTTTCTCCCAAACCTCCTATGATTGTCTCAATTCTACAGTCATATTTCTGGGCCTTGTTATTGGCTTGGTTTTATGTGATATTTTGTTTTGTTTCCCCATATTTTACATATGAGTGAAACCATCGGTATTTATTTTTCTCCTTTTAACTTATTTTGCTTAGCATTATCCACTCCAGTTCTATCCATGTTGCAAATGGTGGCAGAAGTTTGTCTTTTTTTAATAACTGAGTAGTATTCCATTGTGTATGTATACTAATCCACTCATCTGTCTTTGGACACAGCGGTTATTTCCTTAACTTGGCTATTGCAAAAAGTTCTACCATGAACATAAGAATGCATATACCCCTTCGAAGTAGTGTTTTTGTATTCTCTGGGTGAATAATTAGCATTAGAATTGCAGCAAAGTGAGCTTCCAACTACATGACATCTGGCGTGTGTACATACACATTTTGTATAGACATGTGCCATCATATCTTAGGTATATTACCTAAAATTATTTTCTGCCTATTTCTGCTCCATTTAGTATGTATCTCTTCTTTGCAATTTGAAATGGCATCATTAATATATACCAAGTCCTTACATGGATCCTATTTCTGAACTCTTTATTCTGTTCCTTTGGTTATTCTTTCTCTTCTCCCATCACAGACTTAATTCGTACAGCTCCAAAAAAATTTTTTTATCTGTCATGCCAGGTTTCAAGGGAGGACTCTCTCTCTCTCTTTTTTTTTTTTTTTTTTTTTCGGTAAGTGACCCTTTTTTTTCTTTTTCTTTTTTTTTTTAAGATTTATTTATTTATTTATACAAGAACCAGGGTAAAGGCCAGATGTGCGGGAGGGTGAGAGGATTCACCAGAGACAGAATGGGGAACAGAACAGGCAGACTGGCGAAATACACTGCTGAGGGGAGCAGCAGGTGCGACAGGAGAGGTCTGCTGCACCAGGTGGGACCCTCGCTGGCTGGCCGGGATTGAACCGGCGCCGTAGAAGCTGCGGACAGCTTCACAGCGCTGCGCTCAACTGCCTGCGCCACCAGGGGAGGCCCAAGGACTCTCGATCCCTTTTTTGTGATGGGAAGAATACCATAGAAGGGAGTTAGAAATTGAAAATACAAGAGGAAGAAAGGGGATCTAATGAAGCAATGTCTCTAAAACGAAGTGGGGGTTTTAGGGAGACAAGCTTTATTCAGGTGGAAGGATTAATCTTTTACAACCTGAGAAAATAATCAAAGGTTGAACACAAATACAGATTGCAGTAAGAAAGAGAACAATCTTTTTGGTTCATATCACAACTGAAAGCTTGAAAGCTCTACAGTAGAGGCCTAATCATTTACTGAATTGTCTGCAGTACTGATATGGTCAGAACATGATGAGCAGGTTTCCACATAAAATTCACCATGAATTATATTTGGAAATATAAATGAAATAAAATGATATCAGATCAAGAAGGTGCGTGACAGCTAACCTAGTGAGTCTTTTTCCTTTTTGGATGAGAAAACTGCACTCTAGGGAGGGTAAGTGATTTGAGGTCATAGGGCTGATTAACAAAAAACTCACCATAAGTCAAATCTTATTCCCCTTTCTAGAGTTTTTTCCTTAGGAAAAGGGTTTAGTCTACTGCTAAGGAAAACTAATTGAAAAATAATGTTAATGTTCATAATTTTCATGCAGCATATCAATGCTTCCATGCCTTAAAAATTAAGAAAAATTACCTACCTCCGTATGCCATAAGATGGTCTTCAACTTCCGTTGTACCTCGAATTACTACCCACTATACAATATATCCCCGGGATAAGGACAAGAGATGGGAAGGTAAGACTTTATATAAAATTGTTGAGACTTTTTGATACTTTATATCATTTTGTAGAGAAAAATATATTTTTTATGATAGTGTACAATCTCATTTTATAGCTTTATCAGATCTATTGCGCAGTAATATTTGAAAACAAATCTTTGCTAAATTTATAATAAATCTAAAAATTGATTTAATGACTAAAATAAGACTTGCCATACAACAGACCTTAAGAGACCTCTAACTACTTAACATACTTACTATATATAAAGCAGGGGGACTATTTCTATAAATAATTCTCTAGAATAGCTTGTCATTTTACCAGGTCATTTTTATCACAGAATTTTTATGTATACATTTTTTAAACATTTTTCCTCCCAGGAGTGAGCATGGAGAGGTTTGCAGAAGAAGCAGACGTAGTAATAGTTGGTGCAGGCCCGGCAGGGCTGTCTGCAGCTATTCGTCTAAAGCAGTTGGCTGCTCAGCATGAAAAGGATGTCCGAGTGTGTCTAGTGGAGAAAGCTGCTCAAATAGGAGCTCATACTCTCTCAGGGGCTTGCCTTGATCCGTGTGCTTTTGAAGAACTGTTCCCAGACTGGAAGGAGAAGGGAGTATGAAAAAATTGTTTTTTATACATTACTATATATCTGTTTCCAGTGGAATATGGAAAACCTTTTTCATATAATTCTCTCTGTAGTTGAATCATATCAAATGAGTTTAAAGATATTAATTCATGTATTTATGTAATGCCTTCTATATGTATTTATGCACTGCGTTCATGAGGAGTTTTCTTGGTGAGACCTTTGAATATTTGTCCTGAGTAAAAGACAGCATTTTCATTTTGAGGATATTTTCTAACTTCTTCCATAGGTATTTCTCTCTTTGTTCTCAGTTAGATGTAACATATAGTTTGGGGGTCACTGTAATATATAAAGTCAGAGAGGATAATCTAATTTTTTAAAGAATAAATTAATATGGCCTCCCATGTCCGAAGCAGAAAAGATATTGATATGATAAACAGAAAAACAAATGCCAGTTTTACTGCTCTCATAATTTGTGTGATCTTACTTGAAATCTTAGACTGTGTATACCTCAAGTTCTTTCTTGTGTACAATAGATTATGCTATACCTGCCCTGCCTTCAAGGTTAGAATATTCAGTATCTGTGAATATATTTTGTAAAGCTCAAAACATTTTATAAGTGTTTCTGTATTCTTTCCCTGTGGAATAAATTGAATACCAGAAATTTCAGCTATGCTCTTTTTTCCTAAAATATCAAGCTCTTTAAATAGAAATGTGTTCATTTTGCCTAGTTAAAGATCTCTTTTAAATATATGAAATAGATATCTTTGGGTTATCCCTGATACACTCTCAGTTCTAAGAGAAGGAAAAAGGTTTTCACATCAAAGTCCTATATAACTAGGCAGATACAATCCATTTGCATACAAGTTGATGTCTTTATCCAAAGGAAAAACACAACTTCTCTTATGTTTTCATTAAGCAGGAATTTACTACTTGGAGCAGGCACCTAGGCTAAACTCCCACAGAGAGAGAGAGGCAGGACACCATCCTGCTTGACTTCACATTTCAAAGATGTCTCCAAGGCCCCCAAGAAAAACATTCCTGGGATTCAGACCTGACTTAATTAGTTTTTAAAAAGATTATCATACATCTCCAAGAGCAAAGGATTTACAGTTCAAGTTTTCTAAAGGAAACGCTGAAAGAAAAGTGAGGAGGGTAGTTCCATTTCCCTTTTGGCACAGTTTTTTAAACTATTTTTATTACTTATGTTTACCTTACAAATTTGAACTAAAAACTTTATTTTCCTTGTTGTTTCTAGGCTCCACTTAAAACTCTTGTAACAGAAGACAGATTTGGGATTTTAACAGAGAAAGGTAGAATTCCTGTGCCAATTCTTCCAGGTAAGGTATAGTAAATACTCATAGAATCACCGTATTGCATAACGGAAAGGAACTACATTTCATCTGGTGAAGTCCCTTCCTTTTACAATGAGAAAACTGAGCCTGATTTCGAAGGGTTTGCCCAAATTTATATAGCTCACTTGTGGAAAAGCTGGACTAGAATTCAGTTCTTTTGTCTTCCAGCTTAGAAGAACTGGCCTTGTAAGCCAACTAGAAATTTTTAATTTTGTAATTATAACGCTAGATCCAAATGTAGAAAATAATTTGAAATTACAACCATAAGATAATGTGCATTAAAAAAAAGATAATGTGTATATATATATGTAGAAATTATATGTTGGTTAGAATGTTTAAATCATGTTTTTGTGATGTATTATGAATACAAAGTCAGATTTATAAATTAAGTATGTGTTTATAGGTCTTCCAATGAATAACCATGGCAATTACATTGTACGCTTGGGACATTTGGTAAGCTGGATGGGAGAGCAGGCAGAAGCCCTGGGTGTGGAAGTATACCCTGGTTATGCTGCTGCTGAGGTTTGCATACTTTTGGTTTTTTTTTTTGAATGTTTATAGGAAGTAATCTTTTTTCTTTTGAAGATAAACCAAGAATGTTAAAGAAATACATATTTTAGAAAAGCTGTAGGATTTTAAAATGACAAGATTGAAGGAATCTTAAAAAGATCGAATCCAAAAAGTACTTGTTTATATTTTTCCTACATCAAGTGATTGCCCAACTTATGATTGAACATCGGGGATTTGAAAAAAAAAAGGGGGTTATTTGGATTTTGGTAATATTCTCTTCTTAATATTGCATATCTGCTATTTTATACTATGCAGAACAAACCTATGCCCTCTTCCAAAGACAGCTTTCCAATTATAATTATGCTCTGCCTGTTCTTCCCCACCTTCATGCTGAAGGTTTTGGTTTTTGGGGGTTTTTTGTAGGTTTAATTTTCTCAATTTTTCATCCCTCATGTTACTAGTTGGAGTTCCTTCAGTATTCTCATTGCCCTCATCTGAATGCATCCCTTTTAATCCTCTTTGTAAAGTGACAACCAGAATGACTAAACTACTTCAAACCTAGTGGAGAGCAAACCTGTACCCTCTTCATTACAGAAGAAGCTGTTTTTCCATTAATTTCTTCAAAATAGTTTTTAACATTAATATACTGTTGATTCTTACTACATGTTACGGGGAAATTATTAAAACTGAAATCTCTCGCCCATCAAGAAAAATCGCCTCTGCATATTATAAAAAACAGTAAAACATTTGTATTGAACAAGCATTAATCCAGGACTGGACTGTGCATCACAGGCCTTCTGTTAGGAAGATTGCAATACAGAAAGAAATCACTCCCTATTATATAGCCAAACAGATATGATGCATTACATACATGTTAGTTGTCATTATCCAAAGGAAAAATAAAACTTAATGTATCTTTTTTAGAAGCGGGAAGTTACTTGGAACCAAGCATCTAGTCTAGATTCCCAGAGGGGCAGACACCATCCTCCTTGAAAATCACATTTGAAAGGTGTCTCTGAGGCCTCAAGAAAGACTTTCTTGAGATGCAGACCCTGGCAAGAGTCTTATTTTGCTTTTTAAAAGTTAAAATGTTCTTGACTGGGGTCAGTGTCAAAACCACAAGTTTTGTACTTACTGAATAAACACAGACACTCATTCTGTCTCTTGTACCTCTCCTGTCTTTATTTTCGTAAAGATCATCAGTAGATTAAAGATCTGTGAACCAGTTTTTTTGGTACTCTGAGCCAGATTCAGTTCTAGTTTATAGCCACATTTTACTCTTGATTGGTTCTAAGATATCAAATAAAGTGTTTATCTTTTTTTCATATTCCTTGCTGCTAGTCCTTGTTTACCTTTCCACTCCCATGTTTTCTTACGCTGGTTGGTTTTTCTAGTACTGCCTGTGTACTGCCTTACCCTAAGAGCATTATCTTAAAGAGATGAAATAGAAACCAAGTAAGGGTTATGGAGTATTGCTATTTCTCATCCTTAGACTTACACTTTTGATCAGTGTCCCCCACTTTGTTGCTCTAGAAATTAATCAGTTTGAGGCTTGCTTTAGCCTCTCTGTCTTTTGTTCATTTTTTTGTTTTCTCTGCTTTGGGGGGGTTCTTAATTCATTTGGGACATAGGCTTTCCCAACACTATCCTCTTTCCATCTACCCTGATGCTCTTCATTTGCTATAAGCCCTTTTTTCAAGATTTCTGAACTCTTACTAATGGTTTCTTTAATAATCTCCATAGTAGCTTCCCCCTTCTCTTGCTCATCAGGGTTGTAGCATTTCCGCCATTATCAACTGTTTGAGCTGTGTACTTTTTTATACACAAATCAGTGTCTTTAAAAACAATTTTTCTTTATTGCCTGAACATTTTAAAAGTCTGCATTTCTATAATCTAAACACTATTTAAAAACCTAATGTTTATTGTTTCATTTCACAGTAGTTATGAATCCTTAGGTGATAACAAATATGTTTTCATTTTAGGTACTTTTTCATGAAGATGGTAGTGTAAAAGGAATTGCCACTAATGATGTAGGGATACAAAAGGATGGTGCACCAAAGGTAAGCATTTTAAATGTTATGTGCTTAACTAACAAAAAAAGAATCAATGTAAACACCATAATTGTCTTGTTACAAACTTGTCAAGCTACAAACTTGTTGCACATTAAGTGGGTGTTAAAATTTGTAATTAATATGGAATTTTCCATTGTTAAAAGGCACAGAAAACAGCTTTGAACAAAATGATTTAGGCAAGTAGATATGACATGTTAAAGAATAATTTTTTAAGATAAAAACGTAAGTCATATAAACATAAAACACACACTTACCAAAGATTTTATTTCACTTATTAGTGAGGGAATCAGTAGGATGTTCAAGGAGAATTCAGAAAACACATATGTAGGTTATCAATCAGTTGCATTGCCACCTGCACTGATTTTCATTTCTTTGGATAAGCATCATTTGTATTACTAGTCTTTGACCTGATTTCAACATCTTTTAGTAGATGTAAATCTGATTGTCTTCTTCACATTCAAATATAAGCCTAAGGTGGTAGTCTGGTTTTCACAACTTGGAAAGGAAAATCTTAGTATATGGATCTCACACTATAAGTTTCCTTACAAAGGACAGGAAAAAAATACTTTTCTTTCCTATAAGTAAAAACAAGAACAAAACACAAATTATCTCAGTGAATTAATTTGGCTTTTCATGTTTGTTTATTGCCTTAATTTCTCAAATACATTATAAACTCCACAGGGGCAGAAGTCACGGGAAGTTACCTAGCACAGTGCCAAGTACATGTTAGGTCATGTTTCCTCAATAAACGTGTTTACTCATAGTTTATTCTCCTCTGTCATTCTTGAACAAGATTGTAAGCATTTGTAAATGAAAATGTGTGTTTGATGACATGGTTTATAGTCGCAAATAAACTGGAAATGCAGTAAATGGCTATTATCCAGTAGCAGAATGACTGGGTAACCTCTGGTATTTCCAAGAGGACTGTAACCCAGCCATTAAAAAGAAAGATTTGTGCTATACGGTGACTTGAAAAGATTTGCATGAAGTATTACTAAGAAAAGTTTGTTATCATATAATCCCATATTTATAAAGTCAAACAAGATCCAAGAGAGTTTAAGTGTACATGTGTCTCATTATGTGTGTGTGCATATACATTTGGGTATAACGGTACATTCTAGGTTGTTACTTGGTTTATGGATGGGTGTGGTATAAAAAGGAGACAAGAACAATTCAGAAAGTAACTGAGTAAACTTCTATAGAATGTGCGTGCATGTATATGTGCGTATATATGACATGGATGAGCATATCACAGGGCAAAATAGAAGTTACCAATACAATGTGAAAGATGTTCAAACACTCTAGTAACTTATGATGATAAGTTAATTCTTATCATTCAGACTGAAAATATTTGGCACCAAGGATATTCATTCATGCAGTGCTTTTAATAGTGATACACACTAGAACAACCTAAATGTCTACCTGTTGAGAATTGGTTGAAAAATTAAAGGAATCTTTTCAAACAGTAAATATGAATGCTCTAGCTGGTATATATTGCCTTAGGAAAATCACCTTATAATATGTGAAAAGAGCTTTTTAAAAGATTGTTAGTGTAAACCTATTTTCTGTATGAGTGTGTCTGCTTATACACATGCATGCACATGTATGAATAGAGAAATATCAAAAAATTTCCTATGAGAAGTACTTAATTATTCTATATTCCTTTATTCAATGATTTCATTGAGTACCTACCATGTGCCAAACATAAGCTCAAAATGCAGACAGCAAAAGATTGAGAAAGACTTTAATTGTAACTTTTTTCCTCTTGGAAAAAAATTTTCATTTTTTTGGTATATATTTAACAATAGAGAACAGGTAAAATTAAAGTGAAAAAGCAAGTAGCTCAAGAGTGTATTTCATATGACCCTATTTGTGTTAGAAGGACATAAACGTAGGCTCTATAGAGTTATTATTCCTGGAAGTTTTCTGGTATGATGCACAAGAAAGCTATTAATAGTATTTTTGCTTCAAATAGGACTGGAAAATCAGGAGTGTGGAGAAATGGCTTTATACTTTTCACTTTCTTTTTGTGAGAAATTTTTTTGCATGAGCATGCTGTGGTTTATTTCTTACAAACTTAAGTACTTTTGAAATAAAAAAAAATATAACAAAAGACAGAAGAGACATTATATAATTTAGATTAGATTCCACATACAACAGTACTCTTAGTTTTATTTCTAGTATTATAGTTATACTGTCTTTTTTTATACCTGAATCATAATTCAAAATCAGATTGTAAATATTTTATATCTTGTCAAATGTAATAATTTAACGTTTTGTTTTTTAGGCAACATTTGAACGAGGACTAGAACTACATGCTAAAGTCACGATTTTTGCTGAGGGTTGCCATGGACATCTATCTAAGCAACTATATAAGAAGTTTGATTTGAGGGCCAATTGTGACCCCCAAACCTATGGAATTGGACTGAAGGAGGTATCCTAGTTTGTTTTTGCCGTTTCAACTTTGAAATACAGAGCTTAAATTCATTTGTTTTATCTGTAGTCTATAATATTGATTTAATTTTTATAGTTGCTGTTTTTTTTTTTCATTGACTTGTAATGCTCATATTGACAAAAAATATTTGGAATAATTTTCAAGTCCATTTAAATATTACTAACCAAATCCCATTGTTTTCTACATTGTATCAACACATTTTAATTGTTTTATCAAATGTTTTAAGGCTTGACCTTGAAAATATCTACATTTTTTTTTTTTTCATTGTAATGCCATTCTGGGCTAATAGGATTTAACCTGTTATGGTATGCTGCTTGCAAGATGACTACATCATACAGGAATTTTTTATTCAAAATTGTAATATAGTTCATGAAATAACACACTCAGCCATAGTCTGTTGATCTGTAGCCTAAACCTTAATGAGGTTAAATGTTGTGTTTTCTCAGTTTATCCAGTCTCTAATGTTTTTTCCTAAACCTTAGGCATACTAGTATGTAAAAGTTTTATTGTAACCTGTTTACATTTTTTTTTTAGGTTAAAGCTCAGAACGTTTCAAATTTTATATATAACTAGATTCATCGTATTATGAGTAAGAGATTAATTATTGTAGCAGGATGCCATAATGTCTGCATTTTAGACAATATTTCAAGGTAGAAATTGTTGAAAATTTAAACCTTAATAATCTGAAAATAGGTTGAACAATTTACTTCAGATGGGGATTGGGATATGCGGAGGGGAGGTGGGGTGAGTAGACTTTTATTGAAGAATAACATATGTACCATAAAGTAACAAATTATAAGGGTACAGCTCAGTTTTTATAAGTGAATACACCCATGTAAGCACCACCCCAAAGACAGCAAACATTAACAACACCCCAGAAGTGTCCCTTCTCTCTTCAGTGGTGTTTCCTATAATCTCATCCAAGTCTTAAGGAAGTCTTACATATCTGAGAATCTACTGTCATAAGTTCCTTACTCTTCTAACCTGTTTTCTGTACTGCATGTCTCAGTTTGATAGATTTTTCTCTGATACTTAAGCTACTTTTTTGGTGCATTTCTCTTTCTGGTTTTTCATTTCTAATTTCATAAATAAATGAATTTAGTACATTGTGGTGACAAAAATTAAATAATACCCCAAGACTGTTTCTTTTAGTTATGGATTATTGACGAAAAGAAGTGGAAACCGGGGAGAGTAGATCACACGGTTGGCTGGCCCCTGGACAGACACACCTACGGAGGCTCCTTCCTCTACCACTTAAATGAAGGGGAACCACTCGTAGCTCTTGGTTTTGTGGTATGTCCCTTCTATGTAGTTATACTGTTAGAATCATAAGATCATCAGTATTATAAAATGAGGGCTTTGAAAATGGAGAATATAAAATGCTTTTTATAATTTTCAACATGTAAAGTGCTTATGACTATTACAGATGCTAGTCTGCCTAAGCATAGACAGCTTTAGTAACAGTAGCTACCACGCATCAGGCATTGTGCTTGGTACTTTACTGAGATGCTAAATTTCATTCAAGTCCTGTGAGGTAGATGCAACCTTATTTTGTTGATTGGAAAACTGAAGTCCAAACAGATTAAACTGCTTTTCCAAATACACACAGTGAATGACAGCAGCAGAATTCACACCTGAAGCTGCCTGACTTCAAAACCCATTTCACTTTGACATGTGCCCACCAAATTGACCTGTAACTTTTTAAAAACATAAGCAATTTCTCCATTTTTTGAAAGGCCACTTTCATCTTTGCAGTAAATAATTTTGAACATTACAATTAAAAATAATCCAAGTTTCTGCAATTAGTGGCAGCTTTATGGTGTAATGTCATGGTTAAACTTTGTAAATGACACATTGTTATGTTTATGTATTATTGATGTGCTTGAACACCCAGATTAAGTGTCAGTGCATCACCTTTTTGTCATTGATTGCAATGACTTAATCTTTTCAAAGCAAAAGAAGTAGTTATTTCTGCACTTGGGTAATGTTTTATGAAGTGTCACCTCCTATATTACTTGTCCTCTTTATTCCTGAGTGTGATTACATCGGGTGTCTTTATTTTTGCCTCAGTGGTACTACGTACAGATTATTCATTTATTTCTAGATTTGGTATTGATAAATGAATAATAAATAATTAAAACTCCTTTTGTAGAAACATAGTTTGAGATAGCTACCGATATTTTTCTAATTCGGAATTTGATATTCAGAAAACAGTGATTTTTTTAATGTCTAAATTCTTACAATTTAGACATTGAACAAATGGTATCCTTCTGTTTACCCTGTCTTTTTCAAACATATTTTGTTCAGCTATTTATTTTAATTTGGCCTACTGCAAATATTACTCTTAAGAATTTAATGTACATGTTTTCTGTACATGTTTCTCACGTTTTTGCTTGATTTAATTTGAAACAAAAATGCATAGTTGTATAAATATGTCACATTCAAATATGAAAATTTTAAGGTTGGCCTGGACTATCAAAATCCCTACCTGAGTCCATTTAGAGAGTTCCAAAGGTGGAAACACCATCCCAGCATTCAGCCAACATTGGAAGGTGGAAAAAGGATCGCGTATGGAGCCAGAGCTCTGAATGAAGGTGGCTTTCAGGTAACTCTTGCAATGTTCTTATTCCCTATTTCTGTAGTATAAGTTCAACATTGAAAGTACAATATAATGTTTAGATAAAGAACAGAAAATTATAGGAAAATTTATTAAGCAAAAGCAACTGGTGTTTATAAAATGGTGTCACAACATAGTTAAATAAATAATATAATTTAAAGAGCATATTGATTTCTGTAAATAAATTAATGGTATTTTGTTGTTTATTGGTTTATTTTCAAACAGAAAATTAAAATTATGTGACCTAGATATTTCCCTTTATTCCTTAGCTGCCGGGAAATCCAAAGGCAAATTAGTTTTCCACAAAGGTAATTAATTCCTCTCAACAATGTGATAACATCATTGCCTTCTAGGTGACTTCTCTTAGGTTTTTCCCCTTAATTGTCCTATTTTTATATATGTTCAAAGTAAATCTTGTCAAATGCAGTTAGTGTATTAAAAGTACACTAACTGAACATCAAAAACAGACCTAGGTAGCTAACAATAAAGTTAGTACCATTGTAGAAATAGTGTTAGATAAGATAATCTAAAAATCAGCTCTAAAACATATACCAAATGACTTGGAGCATATTCAACTTCTCTTGCCTTAAGGGGTAAATTGTAAAGTAAAATGATTCCTTCTATCTCTAATATTCTAGAAATCTAGAACTCTTTAAGAAATAAGATTTTTTTTTAATTCTATAGTAATAATAACATAACAAAAAATCATGGGGGAGAAGTTCACTTAAACTTTAAAGTGAAGTTTTGAATGCTTTATTACTATAATAGTAATTCATAAAGTCAAGTAAAATCATCGCTAAATTATAAATGTGATTATTAGAATCTTAACATTTTCCCTAAGTTCTGTTGTTAGGAATTACTTCTTTCGAGGTAAATTTTGTTTCTAGAGTAGTAATTATTTTGCAACAAATATTCACTGAATTGCATAATCATGTTCAGAAGCCCATTAAAAATCTTTTGAATTAATGGTTGTAATACTTATTGTCAGTCTAATTCTACTTTAATTTGCAGTGTAAAGATTTTTGTATATTACATATAGATTTGTATTTAAAAACATCTGCCTTGTGTGCTTCAGCATCTCAGATGATTTGGAGTTGGCAGGAATCGATGACCACACACACACATTTTCATTTATATTTTATGATTTAATTAGCCAAATGTTCAGATATTTCCAATATGTTTTTGTAAACTCTTCAGAGGCACTAATGTGGAACATTGAGTTTGTTTGAATTTATTTTGAACTACAAATGTCACGTCTTTATTTCTGTCTTAACATTTGTCTTAAAATTTATTTTGGAATTTTATCTAAAAAATACATTATTTAATGTAGTACCTAATTGTAGTGTTATCATAATTAGAACCTAAGGTTCTATTCCTAGAAATCAAAGTAAAATAAAAATATAGGGCCTCCCTGGTGGCGCAGTGGTTGAGCGCTGGGTTGCGAAGCTGCCCGCAGCCTCTGCGGCGCCGGTTCGATCCCCGGCTGCTCCCCGGCCACCGGAGGAGGGTCCCACATGGCACGCAGACCTCTCCTGCCGCCCGCTGCTCCCCTCAGCAGTGTCCTTCGGTCCTTCTGCCTGCTCTGCTCCCCGCTCTGGCTCAGGTGCATTCTCTCACCCTCCCACACTTCTGACTGTACCCAGTGCTTGTATAAATAAATAAATAAATCTTTTTTTTAAAAAAGTATATATATAAAGATAATATCCTTTGTAAATCATATTACCCAGAATTCACATAAAGGCAGATCACAAAATTGTCTTATTTTTCAGTTTTCCCCTTTAACTTGAGAAGACTTGAAGAAGCTATATTTTAACTTTTTAGTTTAATTTTGTTATTTAACTTGAATTAACAAATGCACTTTGAATGTTTCTTTTCTCAGTCTATACCAAAACTCACCTTTCCTGGTGGTTTACTAATTGGTTGTAGCCCTGGTTTTATGAATGTTCCCAAGATCAAAGGTACCCATACAGCCATGAAAAGCGGAATGTTGGCAGCAGAGTCTATTTTTAATCAACTAACCAATGAAAATCTCCAATCAAAGACAATAGGTAAGAACTTCCTATTTAAAGTACAGATAATTGGGGGACTACCTGGTGGCACAGGGGTTAAAGACACAGTGCCATCAAGCTATCAGCAGAGCTCTCCTATCTTGACCGCTGCTCCCCTCAGCAGTGTATGTCAGTAGATCTGCCTGTTCTACTCACCACTTTGTCTCTGGTGAAACCTCTCACCCGCCCCCCCCCCCCCACACACACACACCTCTGACTTAAACCTCAGTTCTTGTATGTACATATAAATAAATCTCAAAAAAAATAAAGTACGGATAATTGTCAGGTTCTTCATTGAGACATTAAAAACAAGAAGCTATTTAAACCAATGGTGTAGAGGATGAAAATACATACAACTAAAAATCTTGATGTCTTTTTTACGTATATTTTAGTTGACATTAAAAGATATAGATGGCATTTGTCCCTTTAAACAAAGCATTAAGGTTGTGTGCTGTGCAAAGAAAATGATATGACCTACTGTCAGTAATCAGATGTGTTTACAGCAGTGTTCCGTTTTAGTCACATCAGAAGTAGCATTAGTACCACTGGTGTTCCAGCTATTTAGAAATGACAAGTTTAACAGTACTTCATATACATGCATGTAATACACAGACTGATACTACACTCCCATCGGTCTGAAAACAGAACAGCTTTGCAGGCTTTACAAGCTTAGACATGTATATGTTCGACTTCTACTGTGGCGGAGATGAACAGTAGCACTTGTACCTCAATAATCCTTAATCCAAAAGACCTAGTGATTTTCTCAAAAGCCAGAAAATAAGCCTTCTGATTATCTTTTTACTCTCCATCCCAGCAAACTAGCTCCTTCATTGTCCTCAGAACATGCAAAAGTATGCTTCCGTCTCGTGTTCTTTGTTCATGGCTGATGCCCTTATTCCCTTAACCTTTACTCAAAGGTTTAGGCTCTACCTTGATGACCATACCAATTAACCTGCAACACAAAGCACTCCCAACCCCCTTTGCACTTTTCTGTAGTATTTTCCACCTCTTGGTGTACTTTATTTATCAACTTTATCTCCTGTCTCTTGAACGGGAAATTCTAAAAGAACAGGGACTTTGATCACCCTGAATCCCAAACACCTGGCACATAGTAGGACCTTAGTAGATACTTGATAAACCCTATTCCTTAGACTCCCAGGCCACAAATCTTTCTCTAGTTAGAAGTGTGCAACCTGACTATGCCCTCAGATATCTTTGTAGGAATGGAGGCCTGGGGTGGGGGAGATGAATAGAAAAGAATAGAATAGAAAAAAAAAAGAATAGAAAAGGCAGGAGGGTACTTCAAGAACAGAATAGGCTGGTAGAATGTAATGGTTAAATAATGGCACTCTTCCTGAATTTCTTGCCAAGTATCTTTCTTTAGACCCCCTCGTCACGTGCACAGTCCACACGTAAGCAGGAGTACGGCAGGGGCAGAAAGGGAATGGGGACAGAAAGGGAAACGGCGACCAGTCATTGTGGCTTCTCAAAGCTTGTAAGAGCCAGTAGCCACATGAAAAGTGCATCAGGTGTCAGGTGTTAGTTTCCTGGGGCTGTCACAACAGAGGACCACAAACTGGTGGCTTATAACAGAAATATATTCTGAATTCTAGGGGCTAGTGTTTAAAATCGGTGTTGGCAGGACCACACTTTGTGAAATGTGTAGGAATCTTTCCTGGCTTCTTCCAGCTTCTGGTAGCCACCAGCGTTCCCTGGCTTACAGAGTAACTCCAGTCTCTCCTGCCTGCCTTTTTTTTTTTTTTTTTTTTTTTTTTTTTTTTTTTGGTAATTCAATTATTTATTATAAGACTCATATACCATGACCAAATAAGATTTGGAATGCAAGGATGACTTAACATACACAAATCAATTATGTAAACAAATGCAAGGATAAAAGGCATACACAGTAGCAATATCTGCATAGAAATATTTGATGATTCGTCCTGCCTGTCTTGACCTGCCTGCCCTCGCTCAGAATGTCTGCCTCTCCTCTTACTAGGATGAGATAGTCATTAGATTAAGGACCCACTCTACTGCAGTCTGGCTTCATCTTAAGTATATCTGTAACAACCCCATTATGACCAAGTCTAATATACTGGGGATTAGGTCTTCAGAATCATTTTGGAGGGATGTGATTCAACCCATAAAATGTAGAAGTGTTTCAAAGGTAAGTTATACAATCTCTCACTTTTATAGGTGGCACAAACATCTTAAGCTTACTTTTCAGTTTTCTGAGTTTTGAAACTAACTTCTCATGGAATGAGTCAAATGTCTTACTGTTAACAGACATCTACAAAGTAGTTGTCTTTTTGGAAGATGTGGGCATATTGAAAGAATCTTCAGTGAGACTTTATATGATTGTTTAAAATTGAGTGTCATAGGGCCTCCCCGGTGGCGTAGTGGGTTGAGCACAATGCTGTGAAGCTGTCCGCAGCCTCTGCAGCGCGGGTTCGATTCCCAGCCAGCCAAGGAGAAACCCACATGGCACAGCAGACCTCTCCTGTCTTGCCTGCTGCTCCCCTCAGTGGTGTTTTGGGTGGTTCTGCCTGTTCTGTTCCCTGCTCTGTCTCTGGTGAATTCTCACACCCTCCCACGCCTCTGGCCTGTACCCTAGTTCTTGTATAAATAAATCTTAAAAAAAAAAAAGTCAGATTCACTGATCAGATATTTCACTTGCAAAATACTCTGACAATATAGAACTTTGCTTTTGAGGTAATCTCACATTTTTGACATTTCATGTTTTTGATAAAAGGTCTTCATGTACCTGAGTACGAGGACAATTTGAAGAAATCATGGGTGTGGAAAGAGCTATATTCTGTTAGAAATATAAGACCATCCTGCCATGGAATACTGGGTGTATATGGAGGGATGATTTATACTGGAATTTTTTACTGGATATTTAGAGGAATGGAGCCATGGACTCTAAAACATAAAGGTAATTGAAAACATTTGAGAGTACGAATGTTATAATTATTAAAAATTCATGAATGGTATCCATTAATTAGTGGAGGAAGTTAATTGTTTTAAATGATAAATTCAGAATCTTAAAAGAAAGCATCGTTAAAGAACTAAAGTATTATTCTTTGGTATAGCAGTTTGAAGTTTCTACATAAATGTTTAAGTTGAATTTTTATTAAAAAATCTCCCTCAAAACTTGTGAAGGTTCCGACTCTGCTCAGCTCAAGCCAGCCAAGGACTGCACACCAATTGAGTATCCAAAACCTGATGGACAGATCAGTTTTGACCTTCTGTCATCAGTGGCTCTGAGTGGTACTAATCATGAACATGACCAGCCAGCACATTTAACCTTAAAGGATGACAGTGTACCTGTAAATAGAAATCTGTCAATATATGATGGGCCCGAACAGCGATTCTGCCCTGCAGGTTAGTAATGTCATCTCCATTCATTCCTAAAATACAAATATTTGCCTTGACTATGTTAGTAATATGCTGCCATTTTAAGAAATTTCTGTATCTCCTCCCATTGCTTGTAAATTGTAAATGACTCCTACATCTATCCTTTTGGAAACTTACTATTTTTATTGTTTTCACCATTGTTATCGGGAATAATTTATTAAAGTAATGAAATCTTTAAGCCTAGTTCAGATGACATGCCTTAAAAAAAAAAAGAATTTTCTTCATACCCTCAAACCAATATAAGAATTGTGGCACACCAATGAATACTTTTATTAAATGTTTGTGTGACTTTTTTTTTTAAATTTCTTCATATGTATGTGTATGGCATGTATAAATACTAAAATAGTATGGCTACATTCAGCTCAAGGAATGGTTCCTCCCAAACTTTAAATTCATCATTTATACTGTTTAGTGGTAAACTTTCAGCTAGAATTACAGTCGGAAACAAGTTTCAAGTGCTATTTTAAAATAATATTTGGATATTTGAAAATGAGTATATTCTGGAGAGGGACTAGCATATATTCTCTTTGAGGACAGGGCCCTCAGCTGTCTTTTGGCATTTCTGTCATTGCAGTAGGTTGTAAACTCCCTGAAGGTAAGGACTAGATCTAATTTGTCTTTTCAATTATAATGTGCACACACACATATAATTGAAACTGAAGGCTCCTGAATATTGAATTCCCTCATTGGGAAGACAGCCAAATACTGCTATACCTTCTGCTTTTATCTATAGTTAACATATTAACAGCAGTAGCACAAATAAAGATCTTAATATTCCCCATGGGAAAACATTCCAATAACAAAATTTTCATGTTTTCTATACCAATTGTTTCCAGGACTTAAATTTCTACTTTTGAATTTAAAAAGCTAAAGTTAATTACTTCACAGTATTGTTTTTCCTTACAGGAGTTTATGAATTTGTACCTTTGGAACAAGGTGATGGATTTCGATTACAGATAAATGCTCAGAACTGTGTGCATTGTAAAACATGTGATATTAAAGATCCAAGTCAGAATATTAACTGGGTGGTACCTGAAGGTGGTGGAGGACCTGCTTACAATGGAATGTAAACTACAACTGATTTTATTTGCAGTCACAATTGAAAGCCAATTTACCCCAAATTATGGAAGCTAACTTCAAAATGTTTAGAGGCTAACAAGTATATATCTTATAGCACAGTGCTCATTTTCAGTGAAATAAAAATTTTGTACTGTGCCTACAGTTGTCCCATAACAAAATACTTCTCTTAAATAAAATTTAAGTGATGTAGTAGCAATTTACCTCTTTAATTCTTCAAAGATTCAGTATCAGCAAAATCACTATGGACATTAATTTGTCCAATTGAAGACTTCAAGTATAGAAATAAAGGTATAAACCAAAGAATGGCATCTAGCCGACCAGCTTATTCTTATGAAGTTTTATTGGTACATAACCATGCCCATTAGTTTACATGTGGCTACTTTTGAGCTACAATTACAGAATTGAGTAGTTATTAAATGATCCACAAAGCCTAAAGCATTTATTATTTGGCCCTCCTAAGAGAGAGTTTGCGGATCCCTGAACACACATACCTATATCACAAAACCCCTGCACAAACCAACCACAGAGATACAGCAAAGAATTGAGGGAAACAATACATGACTTAAGCTTTCATCTGTTTATTCAATAAGACATTTCTTTCAGAGTTTAGAAATAGGTTGGATACCATTAGTCTTTGTGAATAATGCAGGCAACCATTTTTTAAAAATCAACTTCACTGTGTTTTATAGCACTGTTTTGTTAAGAGTGAACCCTTACCAGTATTCTTGAAGTGTATATGATGGAGAACTGAGGTGTCAATACATTAGGGATCATGTATAATAGATAAAATTCCTTAAGTTTTCTTACTGACTTTATACAATCAATGTATGTATTTAGGCAAACTGAATTCCTTATTAAGCAAACATTTTTGCATATGCTGCTTTCTCTTTATCTTTCTGTGCCTTTATCTTTTGTTTGACTTTCAGCAATTCCACTTGGATAGCTGCAAAATAAATGTGATTTGAGTTATTTCTTAAAACATCAAAGAAATTAGGCTAACCGACAAACTGTTTTAATATGATGGTAAACACCACCTTGATGAATCTTTTCGTCTCTACAAAGTATTATCAGAAAATATTACTCTAGAAAGCATTCACACAAACAGAAGTGTCATGGAGCTTAAGAACCCTAACTGAATTGTACAGAGATTTGTCTTAGCCCTCTCCATTAGAGGGCAATTAAGTGCCTCCCCTACTTTACCTCAGCAATAAGAAATCAAAGATATATTTAATATCTACACCAGGTATCATTATTCATTGTTGATTTACTACAAAAACAAACTTCTGGCAAAGCTTTCCTAAAATATATATACAGAGCTAGAATAAAAATTAAAACCACATTCAGCTTAAGGAATGGTCAGACCCAAACATTAATTCACCATAGTCTATCTTTTAGTGCTACACTTTCACAGGAACAGCCTTTCAAGTAATGCAACAGAACAACTAGTAATCAGATATGTGAAAATTAGTTTCACGTACTATTCAGAGGGACTAAGAATGTAAGCTCTTTGAGGGCAGGGACCTTGACAATCATGTATGACTGATGTCTGGCCCAATAATGGACATTCTGTAATACCTGTTGAACAGATATCTAAGTGATAAAGAGTACAATGATTCATGAGGATAAATCCTTGACAAAGTGACCTTTCATTACAAAACTGACAACTTACCCTTATCTTCTGGTGCTATCTCCTGAGCTTTCTTAAGGTCAGCCTTTAATCAGAAAAACGTTAAAGAAATATTAGGTATATGATTTATGAAGGTGGCTGTCTATTTTTAAAAATTAAAATTAAGAGCAAAATGTTACCAGTGCTTGATCATATTCTTTTAATCCTTGCCATCCTTGAGCTTTACGGTACAGTGCTTTGGTATTTGATGGGTCTACTTTAAGAGCCTACAAAAAATTATAAAACACTTTATGTAAATATTAAATAGTAAATACAAATGCTAACTCTCAATGTATTGCCTACTAGCCCCAGTAAACCCTTCTTGGATCCTGTAAATCTTTCTCCTCTATCAACTGGCACAGAATTGTTTTGTCAGTAGGGGGTGCCAAATGGACATGTATAAGAAAGATGTTCTATCGTGCTACTCTCATTAGACTGCTACAGCAAATCATAGCTTCTTCCCTTAGACAACTTCCCCAGGCCCTCCAGTGTTCCCACAAGTATGGTGAGTACCCGATGACCCTCTCTGCTACCCAGGGAGTCAAAGCCATGCCCTCTCCTATGGGGTCTGGATCTCAGCCCGTGGGCATCAAGAGTGCCTATTCCTTGGGGGGGGGGGGTCTATCTCAGCTTCAGGGAAGTGGCTGTGCCTATATTTTTCATATATATATATATATATATGCATATATATATGCTATCCTCGTGGTTTTTTTTTTCCAATTTATTATTTATACAATAGCTGGGGTACAGGCCAGAGGCACGGAAGGGTGAGAGGATTCACCACAGACAGTGGGGAGCAGAACAGGCAGGCTGACTGAAATACACTGCTGAGGGGGGAGCAGTGGGCGAGACAGGAGAGGTCAGCCGTGCCATGTGGGAATCTCCCTGGCTGGCCGGGAATCAAACCCGCACTGCGGAGGCTGTGGACAGCTTCACAGCACTGTGCTCAACCTGCTGCACCACCAGGGAGGCCCTATCCTTATGTTCTTTAGAATTGTATTTACTAGCCAATCCCTCATTATTCCAATTTCCTCTTATACATATTCTTGTATATTGGACATATTCTTGAAGTTTCTCTGTTCAATGTACTGTGTAGTTTGTCTCCTAATTGAGTCCTAACTGATGACATTTCAAATGAAAATATGTATACACTTTTACTTGAAATCTAGGAGGATTTTTAGGAACATGAGTTAACTTAATAGATCTCTCCTCAGAGACAAACTTTAAAACAGTATGTTTTTCATACACATCATTGTAAATCATTACCTCAATAAACAACTTTAAAAAAAAAAAAAATTTCCCTCTTTACTACTTACTTACATCTTTAAGGTCAATATTCAGATTTTAGAAATTGGGTGTGTTAGCTACCTCAGAAAGGTCAAAAAGAGATGCAGAATGTAAACCAATCTTGGCCAAGTTTTTTCCTCTGCAGTATACATATTCATCCCTTCTGTCACATACACTACCAACTTGCAATGTCATTTTATTTCTGCTTGCTCTGGGAACAATGTAATGTGCAATGGGCATAAAAATTATCCAGGGGTGGTCTTTCTAAAATACATGCTTTAGTTTGGAATTTTTTTCAAACTATGCAATAGAATCATAATTGCTCTACTCAAGGAAGGCAACGCCCACCACCTTCTAGCTTTACCAGTTAGTCCTCTTGGTGGTCCCCATTAAGACATGTGAACTTTATGTGTGTTCTAATAGTATGCTTATACATGTCCCAATGACCCTAAAGTTAAATATCTCCCTCTGCCAAATTAAAGTTCCCTAATAGAGTCTCCTTTCAATTAAAATACCTGGTGTTTCTATTAGGTGCTTAACATGTGCTACATGCTTTATTTACCATAATAAAAGAACACCAGGCGAGAATGATTTCTATTTAAAGCATACAAATTTAATCTCTGAAATTAGGAATTTGCCCCAAATTACAATGCTAATGGCAGATAACTGATTTTAAAAGCCATGTCTGACTGACTCCACAACCCAGAGTCTTCATTCACTCATGACTTTGTCTTCCAAAGCCTAGTACATAAGTAAGTGCTCAATATGTGAAACAAATAAGTGAACTGATGCATGCTTTGAGGAAAAAAGGGGAAAATATCGTCATAAATATTAAGTGATACACTGTTATAAAGTAAATGGACCAAGAGTAAGAAATGAAGGCCAAAAATATATTTACAGATGACTAAGGTCCTATGTAGTAAGATACACTAATGTATATAAAAATTGCTTTTGTTCACGTTAAGTCATAATCTAACCCTTTAAAAAGATCAACATCAGACTTACCTCCAAACAACTGTCTATTGCTCCCTGCCAATTTGACATCTTCAGTTTACAAGCACCAATATTCAGCACACAGCTTAAAGCTACAGGTTGCAGCTTTGGTCTATCTGCTTTCTCAATAACAGCCTTTGAACCTTCCACATACCTGGAGAACATATTGACAGAAGTCAGTTAGACTTAGTTTGCTTCTTCAACTATGTGAAAAAGTTGTTTCTGACATAAAGTGCTCAAATGTTTAAATTCTAATGATCACAATTTTTTATTTAATACTTTAGAAAAATTTTATTCCAAGTTCTTTCTCAAAGTATTCAAAAGTGGTCAATGTAAGAACAATGCCCAAATCTAAAGATAGTAATGCACTAGTGATACTTCCATTATTTTAAATTAGGTCCCCATTATGTACTCTGCAATGTAATTATGTTTGGAACTCGCTGTGGGAGCGGGAATGGAAAAGTTGATTTTGAACTGTATTTTAATGTATTTCCTACTTCTGTCACTGAAAAGGGTGAGAAGCAATGAGCACACTTGGCTACCAGAATATGGTTTCTAAAGTATATTTGCTCCTTGCAAAAACTGCTAATATCAGATCTGGAAATAAGGTTAAGTATAAGATGTGCATGGACTGTCTTGGGCCAGAAAGGAAGCAAGTACTAACAGACTAATAGGAACATGTCAGCATATACAGGAAAGGGGACTTCCACTAGATAAACTGGGAACTCTTAAACATCTGAAAGAATGATGTTTTAAATTGAATTAGAAAAAACACCAGTTCTCCAGTGATACTAAAAAAAGGTGGGGGGAGGCTCTTTCAGACAGATGAATGTTAGCTAATAGCTACAATGAATATAACAGTTCTCAACCATCAGTGCAGTAACTGATTCAGCCATGGTTTTCAGTGATACAAAAACCACTGGGTGAAAGGTTAGGAAAAGGATATTCACACAGTACTTAGTAATTACTTACTGAGGAAAACAGATACTTTTATAACAGCAACAACTGACTGCCACCATTTTAACCAAATGTAAAAACTCAGAAACAGTTCAAACTGACAAGTGCTTTCAGGATGAGATATAGAAAACATGTGGCACCTATCTAAATCTTGCCTGATGAATGTGTAAAGGAACATGAGTATTAACATACTATTCTTTCAACTTTTATATTTTGACAATCTAGCACAAACGTGCTAGAGGCAACAGAAAATGCAACTATTTCAACATACCTGGTTACAGATAATTTGCCAAATTTCAGTTTATAATTCAATTACAAGTTGTTAAAATTCATTAAAAATACCGTACTAGGGTCTGGGAGGAAAAGGGGGGGAGAGAATATTTTATTACCTTAAAACTTTTGTATATTTTTTAATGGCCATCTCCCAGTTCTGAGATTTGAAAAATGTATTTCCAATGTTTTTCAAGTCTTCTGCTATTAATAAGATTTTATCTACCTGTATGAAAGAATACAAATATATTGGATTTTAGTAAGTAATGTGGCTTAATGTTAGAATCTATCATTAGGACAAATTGATACAAAGAGCTCAAATTTTCAGTAGTAAATATTTTTAGTAATTTAGGTAATTAAAATTTGACTAATTGGAAAGTACTTACATCTTTTAGATCTATATCTGCATCCTCAGGGAAATCTGGATAATTGTCACCAGAACCATCTTTGGGGAATATTCCCCAATCATCCCCTTCCTTCAGTTCTCCGCATTCTGCAATAACGCACAACTGTAAAAAGAATCCTATATTGTAGAAGTGTACTAACTGATTAATGAGATATTTTTAAGTCCATTCATGAAGCTATGTATCTGCAAGACACGTGCAGCTCCGCCCAACTCTTTTGAAACAACAGACTAACATCAAGAGGCTTGTCCTCTGTTCTAACCGCAGTAATAACCACTATATACATTCCAGGTATGCAAATGCATCACTGTTTTTTACAAAAGCATTTTATTGCTATTCATCAGCTCAGAGTACAGAGTTAAACTGAAACTTTCTCCATTCTCTGTGATTTCCTTTAGGTGGGGCATATGCTTTCAATTAACAATTTCCCTCAGACCTTGAAGGACAGCCTACCTACTGCAGGTATTTGAGTTTCCAATTAGGATGGGTAGTATTATGACTATTCTGATTCACAATTAGTACACAAGGATCTTTAAGTTACGTTAATTCAGTCTGATCTTAAGTAATTGTGTAGGATAAGATAACAGGGCAAGAAAAGCTGGCTATCAAGAGCAGACCAAACCACCAATTAAATGACAGAGTCTAAACAGGGTTCTGGTTTCCTGTCCTTTCTGTTATGTACATATACACATACTGACTGAAAGCTTTGCAGGGATAGGAAGATGTGAGTAACCTACCAAAAATCACCAAGATTGAAGCTGATATAGTAAAAATCTCCTTTTAAACTTATTTCCATTCCATTTTAGAAATAGTTTCAAAGAAAAGGTGACAGATCCAGGCTTTCTATACCAACAGTTGTCCTAACATTTTTCCTCTGATCCTTTTACTTACATTTCATTAAGGCGGCAACTAATGAAGTGTATTTCACTATAACTTTTTACTTACTTTGGCAGGCTTTTCACCATTCACGTCTACATTTTCCAGTATTCTTGCCACACCCATTCCTTTAATTACTTGACCAAATACCACATGTTTCCCATCCAGATGAGGAGTTGGAACTGTTGTGATAAAGAACTGAGAACCATTCGTATTAGGGCCGGCATTTGCCATGCTCAACAAACCCTCCTGATCATGCTGTAGAAATAGAAATCATTACAAGGCAAAGGTTAGAGATACTGTCCTGAATTGTTCTTTTATTGACTATTCACATAAAACTAGGGTGGATTATAATACCATTTAGATCAAACGAAATAGTGTAATTTACTGTGTATAAAATTACAACCTTTAATTCACAAAACATGGAATACTTATTTTTTAAAGCTGAAGAAAAACTTATGAAGGCGCTATACACATGTTGAATTATAATGCTGCATGCCTGAAAGTTATATTATAAACCTGTTACCTCAGTAAATGTTCATTAAGAACAAAAAAAAAGTTTACGGCACCAAATAACAGACAATAGGGGGCAGGCAGTTAATTTCTAAAGCGGCCATATTGAGAAAAGGCTTATACTTCCTTTATGATGCTTCTGCATTAAGGGGTCTAATAGTTACACCTTTTTTTATGATAAATGCACTTTTTCCTGAGAAGACATGAACAGTCTTCCTACTTGTATTGGTCTGCATTATAAGGCTCCCTTTATCCATCAATAAACTAAAACAGGGAGAGGATATTTAGTGTCGTCACTCAGGTACCCTGCTAATCTCAAAAGAATCCAAGTATGGTGGCTTTCTTCCCAAGTGAGTTACTTCCTCAGAGAATGCCCAGAAGACGCTGCTGGACACATCTCGAAATCAAATGTCTACTTTGACATGAACCTGTTCAAAGGGTCTGTGAAGCCCAATTTTTTATCCTTACACTTTATCCTTACACTTTTCTAAATTTAATCCTCGCTGGTCCATGCACTGTGACTCAGATGACTCTTCCCACCAAAATGCCTCTGACTACTTCAGTCAACTCAAATTCAGCTTTTAAGACCACCAAGTTAGAAGGCGAGAACGATGTGTCCTTTCAATACGGCCCCTTTCAAATGATCAAATGATCATCATGTCATCTTAGTTTTCATCCTTCTGGTAGCTTCCCTTTTCCCGCTCCAAAAGTGTGCTGCTTTTCTAACAGCATTAAATAGAACATTAGAACTTTATTTCCTGGGCCTTGTTTAGTCTTCATCTACCTTCACTTGTTTCCCTCCTTCAATCTGGCACCTCAGCCACCGTGCAAGGTCCAGTTTACCCAGCTTAAATGCCCATTCTTCAATATCTTCCCTAATAATTTAGCCCGTATAAGTCATACAAGCCATATCTTTCTAATATAATCTATACAGAAAGCCTCAAATTAGCATTTCTTTTCATACTATTACAATATTCTTCAGTTGTCCTGTGTGTTACTTCCTGGTAAGTTTACAAATTCTTTGTCCTCAAGGCTTTTCATTTTTTGGTGCCAATGACAGTACTGAACATATAGTATCAGCCAATAAGTACTGTTTAGGAGACCCATGACATTTACTTTTCAAATCATCCTAATTACCATGCTCGTATTCCGTATTTCCAAAGACATCGCTTTATTTCTGTACTTACATGTCTATTCTTACAACTTGCATGATACAATAGACCCCAGTTACATCCTGGAACAATGAAAGTAAGGAGGTACAGGCACCGCTAATACCCTTTAGAAGCTTGAACATTAACCATATCCACTAATTTGCAAATCCCCTGACATCTTAGGTCATAGTGATATTTTTGCTGCTCTTCATCTTCAAGCATAAACATGCATAAGTCACCATCTTTCTGATAATGACAATATTTTTCCTGGAAACAATTTTGCCATACGTGTGACCACACTTAGCGCTCACTGGCTTTACTGCAGCATGTAATGCTTTTGCCAATTAAAATCATAACTGGGGCCTCCCTGGTGGCACAAGGGGTTAAGATGCAACCTCTGAAGCTATCCACAGCCACCGCAGCACGAGTTCCATCTCTGGCCAGGGGGCTACCCACATGGTGCAGCAGACCTCTCCTATCTTGCCCTCTGCTCCCCTCAGCAGTGTATTTCAGTAGATCTGCCTGTTCTGTTCCTCATTCTGTCTCTGGTGAATCCTCTCACCCCACCTGTACCCCACCTCTTGTATGGATAAATATTTTTTAAAAATTAAATAAAATCATAACTGGATGAATTTTTTCCATATTAAAGATGCATATTTATAAGTATGATACCTTTTACAAGAAAAGAATCTAAGCACACATAAGAGACTTAATGGTATCTAATCCAACAAGTAATCCAGACACACAACAACCTTAACTATCAGCAATAAACATGCATTTTTGTCTACTTTACCTTATAATGGAAATTTTCATCTTCAAATTTTTCACCATAAATACTTTCTCCACCTGTCCCATTCTGATTTGAAAAGTCTCCACCCTGAATCATAAATTTCTTAATAACTATAAAAAGGGAAAATATCTATTAGAAACTAAGATATGGATGACTTCAGCAATGTTAATTAATATGCAATAATAAAGGCAACTTCCTAACACATGACTTTAGTCACTCTCCTGTTTCTCCTCATTCATTCCCACAACTCCAAGCTCTTAAAAGGCTTTTCAGTCTGATTCCAAACTAACTTTAATAAAGATACACAGCTACATTATAAAGGAAAAAGATATAGGCTGAGTCTGGAGAAATCCATGCACAAGCTTCCTCCTTCCTTATACCTTCTCCCTGGTATGAAAGGTCACAGGGCACATCTTTCCCCCAGGGGGAAAAAAAAAAAAGGCAACCATGTCTATATAATGGTCTATATAACAGTAGAGACTCAGCAGCCAAGGTTTTTATTAGGGTTCATCATGCAGGTTCTCTCTGCCTAACATGTACCAAAATTACAACTCCTAAGAGGAAAGCAGGTGTTCAACATAAATCAAATTGTTGAGAACCAAATCAAAATTGACTGTACAGTCTAGAAATAGACCCTTATGACTTAGGCAATGGTTCACGCGCCAAGTTCCCAGACTCCGGGCAGTGGCGAACCCTGCATGGAGACCTTTTCAAGAAGAGGCGGCTCAGGTTGGCTATGTTAACTCTTTTCTGCATGCACTTTATCAACATATTGGGGTACTTTATTAAAATAAAAGTAAACCAATAATTTAATATTTTTAAAAATTAGTCATCTTTCTTAATACATGATATGATTATAGTTTACTTACATCCATTAAACAAATATTTATTGCATGCCCACTCAATGACTAAATGTTAACAAAATGGTGAAAATATATAGTTCCTAATGTCATCTACTAAAAGAACCATCAAACAATTGCTGAACAAACCTGTTTACACAAAGTGTGAGACGTTAAGAAAAGTTACCTTTTAATCACATATCACACCAATGTCCAAGACACTGAATTAGTTGGCACAATTTTTTGGTCACTAAACAACAATCAAGCTAAGGTTCTGCTTATTTATCACAGTCATTCCCTTTCTCAATCTAATTATATAGGAGTGAAGAAGTGGTGAAACTATAGTAGTCCATTTCTCTTCAAATAGATCTTAGTACCCTCCCATGATGCCACCTTTCACAGCCTAACCTTTATGAAACTGAGCTATTGCCTCAGATGTCAAAGTGTTCCCTCGGAAATGAATAGTTATTTTTAACTCTCACCCCTTACTCAGGTGTTTTCTTCCCTAACTCCTACAGGACAGGATTTGATCATGTATGTGAATAATCACATTCAGAAAATTAACACATACTTCGATGGAAAGGGCATCCCTTGAAATGGAGAGGTTTCCCAGTGGTGGATCCAGTGCCTTTTTCTCCAGTACATAATGCACGGAAATTTTCTGCAGTTTTGGGTACAATATCTGCAAACAATTCTAAGACAATTCGGCCAACTGAAAGAAAATAAAATCATGTCAGTATACAAAACACAGCCAAATAAACAAACAATAAAAGAGGACAGTTGATAAAACATGGTGATTGAGATACGAAGTTCTCTTTATTGGTTATCTTTCTAATATTCACATTAATCCACCTGATGTGAAGTATCATGTGTCTAAAATGAATTTTTTTCTTACATTTGAAGAACAGGCTTATTAGGAACAGGAGAAAAAGAGAGGCACCTGCTTAGTCACAGGCAGGCAGGACTGCTGTCTCCTATTTTAAACAACTATTTTTCTAGATCTTACAAGGGAAATAAGCGATGTGGCCAGAAATTTAACACTATCTAAGGGACATCATGAAGGGCAAATGGTTTTAAATTCTGATTAATTTCTTCTATATGCATTCAGATTGAATACTGGGAGACCAATAAGAAACAATTAAGTATCTCTTGAGTGGTCAGGTTGGCCAAGTGTCCCGAAGAGCTGTATGTAGCACAGCTTCAGAAGCAACCCCTGTGTGTGTGGGGGGGGGGGGGAGGGATTCCCCATTTTAGAGAACTCCAAAGGCAGGTAAAAGTCAGTCTAGCACTAATTTCAAACCAAACCGAATACACATACATGGGTGTTGTCTTTCCAAAGGATGCTTGAATCCTGATGAGTTTATCTGTGTATGCGCTCAAACACGCTCCTTGGCCAGCAATTTTAACATGTTTCAGAACAAGAGCAATTCAGTTACAAGGCAACACGCTAATTCAGAGGCGCTTAGGCGCCTCCAAACTGCTACCGTAGCCTAGGCAACCAATCGCCACATTAAACTCATTTTGCCCAACACCAAAAAAGAAAATGTCCATCAATCTGGACCTCTAGACTAAGAATCAGAAAATCAGGAAAAAGCAGTATACCAAATCGCTTTAATTTACAAAGAGCACGACTGGACCCCAAAACACGCATATCCCAGAGACTTTCTGAACGCCCCACTGCAAGCAAAAAAAATCACAATTTACGCCAATTTGGTGGCGCAAGTGGCGGGGAGAGGCAACCAAAGCACGAGTGGCGACCCGAAAGGCCGCTTGCACCAGAAATTTCCAGAAACTTCCGCACCACTGTGGCATTGGTACAAGGGCGCTGGCTCGACCCAGCCCTGGATGCCTGGGTTTCTGCCGGCGTCCAGGGTCGGTCCGAAGCGCGTCCCGCAGCTGCCCGGGGTCCGCATCGCACCCCACCCTCGGGGTCCCCGCGGCCGGCCCCCGGGCATTCGCGCGCCTCACTCCGCGCTCACCTCGCTCCCCTCCGACGTCTACGTCAAAGAAGACTCTGGGATTACTAGGGCTGGACGGCTTGGCCCGGGGGGACGGTTGCGACATTGTGCCGTGCACCCGCGTTTGCAGCGAGCTCGGGAGACCGCGTGGCCGCAGCGCAGCTCCCACCGCGAGCGCCGCTCCCCACGCAGGGCAGGCGGCGGCGCTCGCGAGCCACTTCCGGGGCGGTCCGGCGGCCCAAGTCCGACTTCCGGCGTGTGTCCCGCCGTCTCTCGTCCGGCCACCCGGGCCCGGCTTTTCTCTCTCGCTGAAGTTACGCCCCCCGTTCTCGGGATCCCCGACGCGGCGTTTCTTCGCCTTCCACCGCCGCGGGGTAGCGCCCTGGAGACGGGCGTCCCCGCCCCGGACTCAGGTTGGCCACTCACTCGCGGGTGACTTTCTCTGCAGCTCACTTTTTTTTTTTTTTTTTTTTGCTGATTATAACTTATTTTTTTTTTCTATCAGGACTGTGATTTTATTTTATTTTTTGCTATTTTTTATACTATTTGCTTTTCTTGTCTGGAAAACGGGAATAAAAGGCCCACCTGGGGAGGGAGGAGCCCAGGGGACTGAGGTGCTGGTGCACGGGTGCCTTGGGGAAGGAAACTACACCCGAGGGGGTGGGGGGAAGCACATATTGTCTGAAAAAATGTAAAAAATGATAAATGTTAAAATAAAAAAAATAAAAGGCTTACCTGGGGGCCGAGGCGGGAGGCGGAGCCGTCCTTTTGTGAATAAAAAAGACGCCCATCACTTAACGCAGTTCCTGGCAAAGCCTGGTGATGGCGCCTCAACAGCCGCGTTGTTGCTATTTTGTTATAATTTGACCTTCCCCTTAAACCTAATTGATAGAGATTAGGCTGAAGCCTCCAAGCAGCTGAAGTCCAAAAGAGAGCAGTTTGACTGCCTGTGAAACGGCATTATTACCATCGTCTGCTTTTCCCGGATGAGAATTCGTGTAAACATTTTACTCATTTTTGTGAGAACATAACCTCACCTCTTGGTAAAGCCTGATTTTGGTGAAAAGCGATCTGTCCTTGTGTGGAGCTATTGACCCAGCAGCTTGGATTCAGCCTGATACTTATCTGACCAGTAAGGCAAATGCTTAGGTTTCCTTTTCTTATCAGCAAGTAAAAACATCTGTATTTGAATGCAGCGTCCATATGTTACAGGGCAGGGAGGGGACACCCCAGACCCCGCAAACCTGCCTGCTCTAAATGGGTTCTGGCGTCCACTGCATCAACACAAAAGATATGAGACTTTAATGGGAAGGAACTTTAATAAAACTAGGAAACAATACAGGAAAGGCAAAAAATCTAGTTTCTAAATGAAGCACCCAAAGTGACCTGTCCCCTCGTGGGTAAAACTCCATCCAAATGGGATTGGCCCAGAGCAAGGCCCCAAAGCCTGCCCCAAGTCTAAAGCATCTTCCAGTGGGGACCCACAGAAAAGGGTCAGAAACAACCAGACAAGCCCGGAAGGAAAAGAGCAAAATCAAAATCAAGATAAAACCTGCCATTGTCACCTCCCTACGGGTCTGTCACCCACATCTGTGTCACCCAGTCCACGACCAAAAGGCAAACACATTTTCTTCAGGTGTCTCCCTGCTCCATGCACCTCCTCCAGGTCTCCTTTTGGCTCCATCCTGCTTCCTTCCTTCCTCCTTCCCTCTGCAGTGTCTTCTCTCCCTGCTCAGCTCCACCCTTCTTTTGGGTGGGGCAGGGAACCTGGAACCTTCCCCTTTCCTAGGGACCCCTGTTACATATAGAGGATGTTGCAAAAATCAGAAGCTTTATGCCCATAGCTGCAGCAACAGTGGTTTTGTGAAAGAAATGAGCAGTACAAATATTTCCTTGTCTGAACTGCGGTCCTGGAATGGAATGAAAACTCGCGTCCTCCTTACTGCACGGTCTTAGAGATGGTTAAAAGGGAAACAGGTTCCCGCTCTCAACTGGGCTAAGCACTAAAGGTGATGTTTAAAAGTAATTAAATTCAAGTTCTGTGATATACACTATAGTATAACCAAAGATAAATCATTTAATTTTCTGAACCTGCTTCCTTTTCAGTAAAATGGGAAAGAACAGGGTATGACAGTGAAAGGAGATAATATATCTGTATCTGCACTATAAGGACTAATGCACTGTTGTACAATGACTCGTAAAATCTTTGTGACAATGAAATACTACGGAGTCTGAATGTATTTTCAAATAACCTAGGGTCTGCTGAGTGAACAGGGTCGCAGATGAAATAAAATCAGCCTGGGTTGGAATTGTTGGAATTGGGTTGGAATTACTGAGGGCAAATGATTGCTGCATGAGGGTTTATTGTACTGTTCTCTTTATTTTTGTGTGTTTAAAATTTTCCATAATAAAAAGGTCTTTTAAAACTTGTCCAGTTTTGGGCCTCCCCAGTGGCGCAGCGATTGAGCGCTGGGTTACGAAGCTGCCCGCAGCCACTGCAGTGCCAGTTCAATGCCCGGCCACTGGGCGAGGGTCCCACATGGTGCGCAGACCTCTCCTGCCGCCCGCTGCTCCCCTCAGCAGTGTGCTTCGTCAGTCTGCCTGCTCTGCTCTCCGCTCTGACTCTGGTGAATTCTCTCACCCTCCCGCGCTTCTGACTGTACCCAGTGCTTGTATAAATAAATAAATAAATCTTAAAAAAAAAAAAAATTGTCCAGTTTTTATGTGTGTAACTCACTTGATGCTCATTATAAAACTAACCTGTAAAGTAGTTAACAACTAGAATAGGAACATATCCTTTGCAAAGAAATAGGTTGGTGAGAATTTGGGACAAATTAATAACATTTATACTGGCTAAATTTTCTGTGTAATCAAAGTGCTGTTGTTAACCAAAATGCATACTTAGCAAAAGTGGATTTATTTATATATAACCTTCTAACCATTATCATGATGAATATCATGACTAATAAGGCAGCAGAGTTAAGCAGTTCAGCTCTGCCATCAGATTGCTGGAGCTCAAATTCAATCACTGGATAGTAATTTGTGACTTTGGACAAGTTACTTAGCCGCTCTGTGCCTCAGCTTCCTGATCTGTAAATTAGGATAATACTATGTATCACTTAAGGTTTTTACGAAGATTAAATGAAGAATTACTTAGGTGTTTTACTATCTGATACGTAGGTAGCTAATAAGTGTAAGCAAATTTTATTAATCAGCACTAATACTATTATTTAGTATTATGTATTTCAAATGAAAGTTAAAACTGAAAAGGGTTTGAGGATGCCTCTGCATTCTCAGAAAAAAATAACATGATTCTTCCTATTATGCAAGTTTCAGGGTGTAAAAGACTAATCCAAATGTTACTCTCACTGTGTCTAGATTTTTCACAGTAAAGTAACAGCTTTATATAAACTGTCATTCCTAAAACCAACCTGAATAACAGAATCATACCTTTCAAAATCACTGCAGAACTGATCTGTAGTGAAAAGATAAATCCTTTTAGAAGACAACCTGTCACCTTATCTGTCTGCTTATTTAAGACAGGGCTTCTCAGTTCTAAAGTCTTCTAGCTCATGCTTAGAACAGCGGCAGGATCCTCATCTGGATGACAGAAGGCATATTTGCTCTTAGCAACAGCGGCAACATCGTCATCATCATCATCATCATCTCTTCAGTCTGTTCCTCAATCAGTGTGGTAGGATAATACTAACAGATTGCCTCACCCACCAATCAGTAGTGTCTTCTCTCAGTCTCTTTGGCCATCACTCCACCCCCAAAACATCTAGGCATTCTGTGCTCACTGAATACCTAGAGAAATGCTCAAGAGAAAGATGTGGCAGCAAAGAAAGCAGAGGGGAAAGAAAACAGAGTTTCTTCTTGGCTTTTGGCGTTTCAAAAGATTTAGCTTTACACAGACAAGAAGAAACCTCTGGCACAGCAAGGGATATAAGACCATGACTTTCCTCTTGCAGAAAAGCCTCAAACAAGTTAGCCTGTCTCTTCTGCTGGAGAATGAGGGGAGTTGTAGGTAGTAGAGTTCCAAGAGAAAAGGAGGGGAAGCAATGGCAGGGTATTGTGCCAGGAGTTCGCAGAAAGTACCACGTTCATCATCACATCCCTGGAGAGTGAGAAAGCCTCCGTAGATGAACTTGTGACATCAGAGTGCAGGGAATGCGTGTCATGATTCCTGAAGACAGCTCAGGAAAGCAGCAGTACTCAGAGAAGATGAATTTGCGGGAGTTTGATGGGAACTACACAAACTCCCAATATTTTCCTAACTTGAAAATGGGCACAAAATATCCTGTACACCACTCTGTGTATGTTGTGGAAGAGGAAAGACAGCCTCCACACTTACAAGGGCATGGAAGAGGGGACTCTGAACTCCCCAAAGGCTTGTACTGATTACTGTTAGAATGTTACATTTCTGATGAGGTGCCTATATGAACAGGTGACACTGAGAACCAGACTCGCAACTTCAAAATTTGCCATCATACTAGACAGTCTCAAATGTAGATCCAATCCCAAGGGAAAAAAGATGGGCTACCAAAAAGTGGGAAAGATTGTGGTATTATCATGCCTGTGAATTGGCATTCAAATGGGAATTGAACATAAGGTATAGAAAAATAAATTTGTGATTCATTGACCACCATCTGGGTTTATATCTCTACCTGTGTGTAAGTTGTGGATCACTGAGATCCTCACTAGGATCTGGACAAGCTTGAAATAAAACCCATCTCCTTTGTTAAAGGTAAATTAGCAAGGACATCAGAGTTTGGGGAGAAACTTTTAGGATCTTGGTGTAGAGTCAGACTCTCACAGCAAAATTGGGCCTCCAAGGAAAGGATAGCAAGTAACTAAGGAGGCAAAATGATTCTGCTCCTAAAGGAAGCACTGGTGTTGATTTCAGTGATGTGGGGAGAGTATCCTAAGGATCCTTACTCTGAACCTAATAAAGTGTTACTTCCACTGCAAAAGCAAGAATTACTGATTAGAATGGAAATGCAGCTCTCAAGCCCTGCCTACTAAATGTATGACTAAGAATAACTACAGATTGTTCGATCTAGACCATTCAACTGAGGGTAGCAGATGCCCCTAGGAGACAGTAGAGTCTGACACGAGCCAAATCATCCCACAGACAGAAGTGGTACAGAAGACTTTGTGCCTGAAGTCTCCCAATATGACAAGTTTCTTCTAGGAGCTGGAATTGACATTACCCCTCCAAAAAGAGAGAGAGAGAGAGAGATACTGATTATCAATTTACAGTAACACAAAAAATGAGAGGACTCAGGGCCTCCCTGGTGGCGCAGGAGTTAAAAGTCTCAGCGCCATCAAACTATCACCAGTAATGTTCGTGGTCACAATTTGTCAATTTTCTCTCTATAATGTCTTCCAAATCCACCTCAGTCCTTCAGGCGTTTTTGCACCTAAATGAAGTTTTCATCAGTAGGACTACCATATTTTCATTCTCCCCTTATTTTTAAGAACAATAAATGACACAGTTAATAGCATTCCTGATATTTACCAAAACCGAAGTCTACTACTCACAGGGCCTTTTCTCGTTTTGACCCTCAAAAACAAATGAATGTATTGTTAAACTATTTTTTATAAGTGGCCAAATAGTAGTCTGTCTAAGTGTATAGATTTCTAGAATTCAAATTGGAACAATGGGTATGTTTAGTGAAACCACAGGCATTAATGGTTATCATGTTCCCTAAATAATTCCTGCTGACTTTATTAGCTGAGCTTTCAATGGTTTCTAGGTAGCTACAATATAGAAATCCCTGGTGATAATATGAAATGAAGGATTTCTTTGCCGTTGGTTGAATATAACTTAAGCGCCCTGGATACCAGGCCAGTGGGCAGCAAAGAAATGAGTTTGCATTTTTGCCTACAGAAAGGAGTATTGCCTCTCACTAAGAAAAGTTTTTTTTTTTTTAAGATTTATTTATTTTCATACAAAAACTGGGGTACAGGCCAGAGGCATAGGGGGTGAGAGAATTCACCAGAGACAAAGCAGGGAACAGAACAGGAAGAGGGACCCAAAACACTGCTGAGGGGAGCAGCGGGCGAAACAGGAGAGGTCTGCTGCACCACGTGGGTAGCTCCCTGGCCGGCTGGGGATCGAACTCATGCTGCAGGGCTGCAGATTGCTTCATAGGTTGTGTCTTAACCCCTTGCGCCACCAGAGAGACCCTAGGAAAAGTTTCAGTCAAGGTTATGACACTTCTCAAATTGCAGCAATGGATTTATTTAAATCCTGGAACTATGTCAGAAGTCCCAGAAATCTGTACTTACAAAGCAGTCAAAAAATATAAGTCAACCTTGGCTATAAAAACTGTGAGGGTGGTATCATGATCCCACTTCACAGAGGAGGAAACTTATTTAGAGCCTAAAGAACCTGTCCTATGACCAATGGTTGGTTATTCTTGCTACCAGTGCAGGCCATAAAACATGCCCCCTAGGTCAGAAAACACATCACCCTACTAAATCTTTTTGAATTTTTGGGAGCATCTGCCAGTAATAACTATTTTGTTTTTATCATCAGTGATGTGAATTGTTGATTTGAGAAAAATTAGCCAATAGATTCAGTTACATTTTGAACATTCCCTTAAAAGTGGAACATGTTGTAGTAGGAGGTTGTGTGTTCAGGTCATAAAAAGTGATGAATTTTTTAAAGTTTAAAATGGGGAATTTAGATCATAGTCATTACACAAATTGGAATTTGATCTAGGAAAACAAGTCCTCTGTACTCAGATTCTTATGACATGATGGATAAGAACTCTCTAAACTGTTAAATGGATTTACTTTTATATCTAATAGAGCACTCAAATATTATAACAAAAAGATCATATCTGCCAAAGTACTTCCATTAGGACTATAACAGCTGCTGTGAAAACTGGTTTTTATTCGGCAGGTTTCACTGAGTGCCTAATACATGCCAGGCCTGGCATATACATATGTGATAAAAAAAAAAATACAGTTGCTTTTTTAAGAGTTCAATGTTTGCTGTGATTTGGAGGTATACTCAAGATACTGTAGGAGAAGATTGGGGTGATCAGCTTCAGAGTTTTCTAACAGTTTTCTAGGGAAGATGCCACTCAATTCGTCTTCTTATTTTCCAGAAAATACTTCACCAGACGAAGAGATGAGAGTCTAGAGGGACGTGTGCTAATATATAATTATCATGGCCTAAATACTGCTTATGTCTAAGAATTTAAAAACCAGCAAAAGAAGAATAACTGTTAATGCCAAAGATTGGGGGAGAACAAGAAGAATGTTAATAGAATATCAGGTAAGTGTGAAAAATCCAGATGCGCAGTTTATTGAAACAAAAGCTAGTGTGACCTTAAAGTCTAAATGCAGATGAGCCAAACAGAAAGAGTTCTCCTTTTATTCACAGTTCATCCAAATTTGCTCAGAACTATAGGCAAAACTTTAAATAAATCTAAAGTACATTTAGTATTTTTACTCCATCAAAATCTACTGTTTGAGAGAAGTTTAAGTGACACATATTATCTGATAAAATCTCCAATTTTTCCAGGACTAGCTCATTAGAGTTTTGCTTGCATAGGCAAACACCTCTCCTAGTCAAGTTCTTTGCATAAGCAGATTTTTAAAATTACCAGGTACTTTCATACCCTTGTAAGAAATGTAAATGATAATGGGTCAGATTGTAGGACTTGACTTTTTTAAAAAAAATGCCTTTATAGTTTAGATGATCTATTTCATTGTTTAAAATCAGTTACATATTATAAAATTTGGGTATTAAATTTTTTAAATATATTTTTAAAAGTCTCTAGATATCTTTATTTTAGTGGAAGATGATCAGTTACCGTTAAGTTGAACTTTAAAATATATTTTGCTTGCCAGCTTGAGTCGTAACTATTCTACATACTTTATGTTGATTTGTTTTTAAAAAATAAGTTATATGCTTACAGAGTACAATCCAAAGATAAAAAGGATATAGTATAAAAAGTTTCCTGGTCAACTCAGAAAATTCTTAGAAAACTTCCACCAGGAAATCCCAGCTGCAGAGGAAATCAGTACTACCATTTTCTTGAGTGTTTTTCTTGAGCATTTCTGTATTATGTAAGCAAATATGTATGTGCTATCTAATCTCCAGGCACTCTTTTTGCATACTCTGCTACACCTTTCTTCTCAATTAACATTGTATCTTAACATAAAATCCCATTTGATAACATAAATGTTTCCTTATACTTTCTTACAACCTGGCATTTGATAGCATGGGTCCATCAAAACAATCCCTAATATATAAAAGGAATGTTTAGCTTGTTTCCACCCTTCTTATTACAATAGTACTGCAATAAATATCTGCATTCAGTTATGAGTTTGGTCATTTACAAGTACATCTGCTTGATAAATTTTAGGAAAAGGAACTGTGGGTCAAGGTATGTGTGTCTATTTGTAATTTTAATAGATTTTGTCAAACTGTCTTATGTGATGCTTTTACCAATTAACACTCTTCCAAACAATGTATGAGTGTACTTACTCCACCGTATTCCCACTGCCAAATGTATTGCAGAACATTTTGTTCTTTGCCAATCAGATATGGAGGAAATGCTTTACTTATGCTTTAAAAGAATTTTCTTATTAATCCTTATAACAGTAAGTACTATTGTAATCACCATTTTATGTACAAGGAAATTAAGGCTTACAGAGATTAAGTTATTTAATCTCAGAAAAAAAGGTGCAAGAATCGAGACACTAAACTTAACCTGTCCATATCTTGAATAAAAACATTAACATCTGTGTCATATAGGGTTTCCGTTAAGAAACACAGCCAGCCATGCTCCTGTTCCTCTTCAGATCAAATAAATCTTTTGCTTTTTACTTAAATAAAGGAGGGTGGGGGACGGGAAGAAGCTCAACCAGAGTTTTGGGTTGATGAATGTGGAGACATGGGGACTGAGTGTGCAGGAGGAGAAAGCATGGAGATTCCCATCCTTTCTGCATGCCTTACCCTATGATTCTCTCCCATCTAGCTGTTCTGGAGTTAAATCCTTCCATAGAAAAACCTGTAACACAGTAAATTAAAAAAAAAAGAAAAGAAAGAAAAGCATAGCCAAAAGCTTAAGCTATATTCTTATGATTATTTTTGGTGATTCATTACTTACTTTGAAAGGTATAGCAGGATTTTGTAGTATCTTAGTGTCATCGGTATCAAAATTATTATCACTGAACAATAGATGCTTGTCCTAGTTTAAAAGTAGCCAGTACACAGATGCCAGGTGAACCAGTTTTAATGGTCTCATATGCCATCACGAGTTCTTTTTTTTTTAAAGATTTATTTATTCATGCATATAAGAGCTTGGGTACAGGCCAGAGGTGTGGGCAGGGGGCAGGTGTTGGGAGGATTCACCAGAGACAGCATGGGAAGCAGAGCAGGTAGATATACTGAAATACGCTGCTGAGGGGAGCAGCAGGCAAAACAGGAGAGGTCTGCTGTGCCATGTGAGCCATCTTTCAGGTCGGGGATCAAACCCATGCTGCAGTGTCCGCGGATAGCTTTATAATGCTGAGACTCAACCCCTTGCGCCACCAGGGAGGCCCATCATCACCAGTTCTGAAAAGTTTCATCCCACAGTGGGATGAACCTGTGGCCCTCATAATACATACCTAGTGGCCTGGTTTCTCAGCTAGTTAGACAGATGGATGAGTTTATACTCAGTGAAATAATTCATTGAGCCTAGAATGCTGATGTCACAATAATATGCTTGAAATCTAAGAGATAACATGAGGATTGCGATAGCCCTCTTCTTCCCCATAATTCAAAGTGGTTGGCAAATATTTGCTTCTGGCCTTCCTTACATGTTGATGGAGTAAGTCTGCAAAACAAACAAACAAAAGCCATATGACTGTTCTCTGTCCCTTTGCCATTATTGGAAAGAATGTGTGAGGTGGAGAAACTAACTATGTAAGAATCATGTGCTCGCAACACTTCAAGCTACAATTTGATGACATTGTACATGCATTTGCTGGGTGTGACCTTCAGCATGTTACAGGTTTGGCTTGTTTGCAGCTCTCCATGACATGTTTGAGGCCTCTACCTGCCAGGAAGGGATTCACAAAGAGAAAACACTCTTACATCAACCTAAACTTAACCACCATTAAAGCCCACCTAGGAATCTCCTGGTGGTATTTCATGTCAGTGGAAAAAACATGGGACATTCAGTGAATGCTGGAACAAATGGGTGTCCAAAACCATAAAGTTGGAAATATATGTCCCATCCTGTACCAGATGAACTCCAGATGGAGAAAAGATTTAAATGTGAAAAAATAAGAAAATAAGTTATCTGAGATGGAAGAGGCCTTTTATGACACAATACTCAGAACTTATAAAACAGTGAATGAGACTTCCGCCTTTTAAAAATTTTGCAGAGGAAAATCCATCATAAAGTCAAAGACAAATGACAAACTTGAATAATTTTATTCTAACTCATACTGCATACCAAGTACTCGTTTCTATATTGTACAAAGAACTTCTGCAGATAAATAAGAAAAACACCAACATCTTAGAAAAGTAAGTAGCGAAGTGAACTTATGGTTTTCAGAAATATTAATACAAATGGCTTTTAAATGGATGTTCCTCAGAAGAGAAATTCAGATCAAAGCCACATGTTAATTATGAAAAAATTGAAAATTGTTAATAGCCTCAGTTGGTTAGACTATGGGAAAGCTCATACATTATTAGTGAAAGTAATTTGGTAACATTTTAGTATTTAGCAAAACACAGATGCTCTTTGATCCATCAATTCTACTCCTAGGAGAATGTCATTTTCAAAGGTAGAACAGGAAAATAACTCACTAAAAAGACAAAAAAGGGAATTAGCTTCAATGATATAGTAAGAAGAACATTCCATGTCTAACACTTACTGCTAAGCTTAGATCAGGCATGTGATAGAAAGAACAGAGGGCCAGTGTGGCTGGAGCAGAGTAAATGAGCTGGGAGAATGTTGAGAGACATGTCAGAAAATAATTGGAGCAGGACGTGTGGGAACTTACAGGTCATTTTAAAGACTTCAGCTTTGACTCCAATGGGGAAAACACTACAATATTTGAGCAGAGGAGTGACCTATATTTTTAAAAGATAGCTCTAGCTCCCTGAGATAAGAACAAAAGAATGGGTCAGAGAGCAATTGGGAGACTGGAATGAGGCAAGAGAGGACAACGGATTGAATCAAGATGACAACAGTAGACGTGGTGATAAATGACCAGGCTGTGGGTATATTTTGAAAGTGGAGTCACCTGAAGGGAGTCACCTGGATTTACCGATAAATTCTATGTGGGATAGAAACAAAGAATCTAGAATGATTAAAGGATTTTTTTTTTTAACCTGAAGAACTGGAAGGATGGCATTGCCATCAACTGAGATGAAATCTGAGAGAGGAGCAGATTTGGAAGGAGGTCAGGTGTCAAATTATGGACCTGATCAAGTTGAGATGCTTATTAGACATTCAAATGCATATATCAAAATGTTGATATGTGAATTCAGATTTCTGGGAAGAGCTCCCAGCTGAAATGATAAATTAGGAGGTCAGCTCATATAAATATGGCAATTAAAACCAAAGGACTGGATGAGATCACCAGTCGAATTAGTACAGGTTGAAAAGAGCAACAAATAGTAACCCCACAGCACTCTGACATTTAGAAGAGAGAGAGAGAGAACAGAGGAGGCTGCAAAGGAGCAACAAGTGAGATAAAAGTGAATCCATGAGTGTGTGGTGTCCTGTGAGGCAAACACGGGAAATGCACTGAGAACTGACCATTTCCAACAATGCTGATGGGTCGAGAAGGAGGATTGCTGAGAATGGGCCCCTGATGTGGTGCGGTAGGTCCCTAATGAACTTGGTAACACACAGTTTTAGAGCAGCGGTAGGGCTGAAAGTGTGATTGGAATGGATTCAAGAGACCAAGGAATCCAGCCTCTCTGTAACTACAATGTACAGGAATTACAGGAGTGAGGGGACATGAGGATGCAAACAGCCAGGTCCGGAAGGGGGAACCTTCTATAGAAAAAAAAAAAAAGACCTTAAAAAAAAACACACACACACACATAAATGGCATGGGGAAAAAAACAGAGAGAGAGAAAATGCTAAAGAAGAAAAAAAAAAAAGACTTAAGGGATGAATGCAATGTATTTAGAGCCTAGTTTGGGCAAATCTATCATAAAAAGATATTTTTGAGGACACCTAGGACATTTAAACCCTCATTGTATATTTAGATTTGTTGACTATGACACCGGTGGTGTGATGGCATATTTTACGGTCGTTA